TGAGAACACGCAGGGAACATCCAAATGTAATCTTTTTAGACGCATGACAGTGAATTCTAATAGATTTATCTCTGTAATGGGTTTTTACAGATGTGAATGTAGAAAGTCTCTTTGCAGCCTGACAACCACAGACTTGAATTTATCCAACCCTCCCACCATGGTCAGCTTCCTCTTCCGGAGCTCCTGTCCAAGCTTGTGCGAGGTAAAAAAAAATTGTCGTACGTGATATTGTGTCCACTGAGCTTCTGAGTCAGGTCTAGGACAACTCCCATCCCTTGATTTATCTCTGGGGCTCCTCTGTCAGGTTTCCCTGTGTAGACTTGTAAGTTCCAAGCATACGAGGTTACGGCATCGCAGGCAGCCCAGATCTTTATGCTATATTTATCTGGTTTGGATGGCATATACTGCCTAAAGGGGCAGCGGCCCCTAACTGGCACCAGCTGCTCATCAACGGTAACATGAGGCCCAGGGTTGTAAAATAGGGGGAGGCGGTGCACCCACTTGTCCCACACCGTCCTGATGGCATAGATTGGACCAGAGTCCAGTTGTAGTACAGAACATGTCCTAAGTCACAGTATATGCACGTCATCACAAAATAAAATGTGAAAAGATTTCCTCCATGCCACACACCCCTAGACCAAACCAACTCCTTTATTTATTTAAACAGACAGTTTACTGGCTTGATGTGAACTGTATTTTTATCATGTGGATTTACGTGATGATTTTTTTTCTTGATGCTTCACTCTGACTGAAATAAAATTGTTTAAATTAGTTTTAATATTCTGTCATCTTGATTCACTGCCTACCTATAAATGTTTAGGGATCTCCAGAAAAAAAAATCTGACACTGAACAATGTAGCTTTGATGCAAGTTGTGTGAACAAAAACTCTGAAAACATATTTCCAGTTTATTCCAATACCCTTCTGGACAAAGCAGGGATGCGCTGACCATTTCCAGCAGTCTGTTTTGCAACTTTAAAATACACTACCTTTAAAAATACAAAATGTGGTTACAAATCCAGTTCTCTTACTTATAAAGCAGCACCCACTTTGAAAACCTGAAGTTTGCCATTTTACAAATATAAAGCATTTGTGGGCAAAGAAATGACCTTATAAACACTAGATTATTGCTCTCTCCCTGTATATTTATTTTTCAGAGATGAAAAAATTGAGTTTAAATTTCAATTTCATTAGGTCAGATATTTGCAGCACTCGCGTAGAAACGTCTGTGTGCTATGTGAACCACCTACGCACACACTCAAACACTGCAGCCTGGTTCTGTCAAAGGATGTCTGGAAAACTGAAGACTCTGCATTCCAGTCAAGGAACCAGATGTGGTCATAAATGTGCCTTCTTATCCAAAAATAACAACTATAACAAACTTGCTTCTTTGTCAACTGTCTTGCATGCAAAAATCCAAACCCACATACCTCCTGTTTAGTGTAGCTAAATCAGGTTTACAGCAGTGTCCCTGTGTTGAAAAGTGATTTTCTTGTATTCAATTACACGTCATCCTTTGACTCAAGAATTTTCCAGTGTTGAGCTCATGTCGAAATTGTTACACAAGTGAAATCTCACAAATGCCAAAACAGACCAATAACTTTAACCAGATAACTCCAGTTTCATTTCAATCTGAACACCAATGCTCCCCGCAAATCTGAAGCTACACTGATTAGAAGGAAAAACCAAATGTCTGCATACGTAGACTTAGTACTTGACCGCTGCTTCCCATCTTAAGACACGCAGAGGCACTGCTTGATTTGTTCAGTGGCTTTGGAGGATCCATAGTGCAACAGATTTCAGACAAACATGGCTGCCAAGCTGCTTCCTGTACTGTTATATGGAAAAAAAATAAAAGGCTTCACTGCATTATCATACAAAAATCCAATTAAGAAAACACCTTCAGTTCCTACTACAAGTTAAACTCTGGGATTAGTTTTAAATCAGTTTATACTTGGGTGAACTTTTTTTTGGAAGACGTGCAGCAGGATCCCACGGCACTGGAATTATCAACTGCACAGGCACAGAAATTGTGTAAACAAGGGAAGGTTGTTATAACAAGGCCAAAAAAAGTTTTTAATTAAATTAAACTGTATTTACACATTGAGTTCTTTAACACACAGTCTGGCCAGTGGTTTAGTGTTGCTGGATACTATCAAAAAATAAAAATAAAACTCCCATTACCCAGTGCTCCTCAAAAGGCTGTGGAAAAAAGCGTCATACCTCTGTATCAAGTTTGTGTCTGGGAAAGAGCAACATGCAACTCTAACCACTAGAGGGAGGTGGTGAGGAAAGATGAGCAACATTAAATGTGTCTTTGAAGGAAAACATTGACTGTCAGAGGTCCACAAACGGAGTATAATGCATGATGTCAGCCTTTGGCACGTTTCACTTTGCAGCAGAAATCCTGCAAATCTTACACACAAACAAGTGGATGAAGATGCTTGGATCAAACTGTAGGCTTTGAAAAAACTCAAAACTGGTGGCCCTCTTCTAACTGTTCATCTTTAAGTGTCAGTTTGTGTAATCTTCTTTCCTTCACGTCCAGTTCTCCAGATCTCGTCTCCTCCACCATCGTGACATGGACCAGTCTTTCAATGCAGTCTTCTGAGCCGAGTCTCCCCCTCAAGGTGTCTGTTGGAGCATACAGCTCAAGATATCTATGAGGTTGTCCAATCCCCACAGGTAGCCATCCTCCCTGTTGCCCTCCACCCAGGGACTCCTGTGGTCCAGGGTCTGAGAGTCTGGCAAGGGAACGGTCTTCCCGAAGTCAATCATCCACACTTTGGCCTTCCCCGAGGCATCGTGCACAAACAGCAGAGAGCTGCCCACAATCTGGAATGAAGAAACCAGTGAGGCGGTTGAGTTTAGGCATGTGAGCAATTCAGTAAGAAGCTAGTGACAGGATGATATTGCACGTTGAACTTGGTCAACAAGTTTGTTTAGAAATCATGGAAACCGAGTGTGCATCTCACCTCGTGTGTCCTGAAGAAGTTTGACTGTTCAAGCGCTGAGCGGAGCTCCTCCAAACGCTGCAGGTAGAATTTCTAGGACAAAAGGAAAAACAAAGACAAATTATTTGTGTGAGAACATAAACAGAAAAAACTGCAAAGGCTGGCTGAAAGTCAGGAGCTCAACTGTGAACTTATAATCTTCTCTCTTTCCTCGCTGCATATGCTGCTATCATGAACGAAAAAAAAAAACAAAAAAAAAAAAACAAGGAGTGAGCTAATAACATACCAGAATCTGAGTGTTGCCATCAACAAAGTCCCCCAAGGCTTGCATAACCTGCTCTCTGTGCTTTGTCTTCTTAAAATTGGTGTTACAAGTTCCATCAGCTTTCTGTTTAAAGAAGAGAAACATTAGATCCTGCACCTCTCCTGTTTGTCTCTCCATTTACTAGTACATTTTCAGCTGCATGAGGACTAGAACTTCATTCAGTTATTCATTTAAAGCCTCCTGTTCCAGTTCAGCTGTGGATTCTCATGACAATAGTTAAGTACTACTAGCAATACAAGTACATGCTCAAGGGTTGCATTTCACGCAGTATGCAGGTGGAAACAACAACAAAGCATTTTCACTGCCTGCTGCTTGGCTGCTAATAACTTGTTGGACTGGAAATTAAATTGACCACAGGTTGCTTTAAATGTTTACAGTGCTTCAGATATTTGCATTTATGTGTGAGTACCATGCAAATGTACAGTTATTGGTGGGACCTGATGACAGGCCCTGGATTTACCTTCTGAAGGAACAGTGTCTTATGACTACAAATCCAGCCAAGGACTTGAAATACACTACCAGTGCCATGTCTGGACACACTTGTCCACTGAACTGAATGGGAAAGTGTGTCCAAACTTTTGACTGTTAGTGTCTATACTATGCTTTCCATTTCCACTCCAGTGTGTGTGTGTGTGTGTGTGGGGGGGGGGGGGGGGGGGGGTACACAGATAAATATTTACTCCTACTGACTGGCTTACTTCTTGTAGAAACTATTTGCTCTCCTCTGTTAACGCTGACCACTACAGCCAGGCATGTTCACACTGCTGGATGTCCGGGTTGACCTCTCACCTTAATGCCTTCGATGCGGAAGCCCAGGGTGGCTGTGGAGCTGAGCGTCTCCCTCCACTGCATGTATCTAGGTTTGAGTACACCCTGCTGGGCCCTCTCCTGCTCTGTAGGGGCCCCGGGGTCCACTGTGACCATCTTCTCATACATGTCCTTCCTCAGACGTGGACGCTCTCGGGCTTTCATCAGCTCCTCCTCCAAGTAGGTTCTGAAATGTAAAGCCTTAATATTTAATTTTTAAGATTCTTTTTTAGGTATGTCCATATTTTGTCCTATCTTCCCTTCCTTCACTATTTTAAGTTATTTTTTCTGTATTGATGTTATGCCTTCAGTGTTTTTATTAAACTGCAGATAAAGCACATTTTTGCCTACAAACACAGCCAATGAATATTAGATAATTGTGACAGAGGCAGAAAACATGGGGAATAAACAGTTTCAAGGCTTGTATGTGTCTAAAGGGTGGTGTTCAAGGTTCATCTTATCTCCTAAAAGCACAAGATAAATTCTGAAACAGTAGCCCATGCTGTCAGTATGGTCCTAAAAAATGTCTGCCACACAATTAGACTTTTCACTCCAAACTGAGTCCTACCTGCTGCCCATCTTACAGTCCATGATAGAGGGTGAGTCAAACTCGGCCAACAGGTCATCCATCAGGTTATAATCCTGCTCGTCTTTTTGCACTACACCATAATAACCAGGCACATAGGGCCGCAGTGTATCCTTCATCAGCTTCTGTAGGCACTGCTGCTCACACTCACAGTAACGCTTTAACAAGCGCCCATACTCTCCAGCCTGGAAGTTACCTTAGAGAAAGAGGCAGAATAAAGATGAAAGGAATAGTCAGACATTTTGGGAGCTACACTGAGACACAGATAAGTTAACGGATTGATACCTCTCTCATCTATGACGCTAAATATGAAGCACAAGTCAGGAGTAGGTTTGCTTAGAAGTCAACTTGTCATTACATCTCAGTTTGTGTACAGATTAAACAAACGAGGTATAATATGTTAGTTAGCTACCTTTACAGGTGCTGGTAGGCTTTTTTTTTTAAAAAAACACACCTCTGAACAGAACCAAGCTAACAGTTTCCTCCTGGTTTCCAGTCTTTAAGTTAAGCTAAGATAAACCGCAGCTAGCTGCAATCATATGGTCAGATGTGAGAGTGATAGCTATTTTTCCATCTAACTCTTAGCAAGAAAAGAAATAAGTATTCCCCCCCCACCCCAAAAAAAACTATTTCTTAAAAAAAAAAAAGGATAAAAACCTATATGCAGAGACATAAATGCTGCATATTTATACATACCTGCATGGCCAGCGAGCTGCACCCATGGGTAACGCTTCTTAAAGGACACAATGAAGGGAGACCAATGAACCATGTTCTTCAGCTTGTTCCAGGACTTGTTCTGGGAAAGAGACAAACAAACAAAGAACTTAATCCACCTGCTGACAAAGGTATGGGTAATTACACAGATGACAAATCTGAAGCATGGACTTAGTGGATTCAGGGATTATTTTCTGCTCAAACAAAGCACTGTGGTAAATACAGGCTAATAGAATGATTACTCAAAGGAAAACACACCCTGTAGTGTGCACATGCACACAAGTCAGCAGGCAGTTCACAGATCCTCCCCCAACCAAGGTCAGTCCATAACCAACGTGATAAAGCCCATTCATAAAACATTTACCCAAGCCACCACTGTGGTGTCGTAAAACAGAACTTTACTGTCTGAAACTGTGTGTGTGTGTGTGTACATGTATACCAGTTATCTGTGTTGGGAAAGACCCAAGCAAGGACAGTGTGCAACAGAGGCTTTGACGTAAGCAATCTGAGAGAACGGGACATCGATTGACTGGAACATGTGTGTGTGTGGGAAATGACAACAAATGGACAGGCACATTAGGAAAAGTGGGTGTGTGTGTGTGTGTGTGTATGCCTGGTATTATTACTGGAATTGCATGGTAACCTGTTTGCACACGTACATTGTGGGGACTCAGCCTTCCTGTACGTCACTGAAATGTACAGTGAGTACTTGGTTTAAGGTTAAAATAAAAGTTAGGGTTAGGCTAATTCACTAGGAAATGAATACAAGTCCATGTTAAGTCGCCACAAGAAATGAAGACAAAACGTGTGTGTGTTATGACAGAAATGACTGAAAGATCAACAATATCACTCAATTTGTCTTGGCTGCAGTTTTTGAAATCATTTCTACAATGTTTTTTTTTATGTGAACCATATGCCAATAAATGATTAACACAGACAAGACTGAGATCATGAGGGTGTGCCAGAGGTACACAGCTTACTGGGAACAATAAAATGTGGAGGCAAGAGTCAAGAGTCATAAAATTAATTCTTTTATAACTGTGAATCTCCTCCATGCCCGTGTGCTCGCTGCCATGTTTACATGTCAGCCTATCTCTGCTCTCCTGAGGCATTCTTTCCACAGCTGCTCTGTTGAAACTCTGCCACAAAAAAGTCTTAATGTGGGGATACACACCAACACAAGCACACACACCAGGAACTGGGTCTGTGTTTATCTTAGAGAGACAGAAAAAAGGCTTTGAGTTTAAGGAGTGCTGTTTTGTAACTCAAAGGTCCTGAAATCCTGTTTTTTCCCCTCAATCCTTATTGTGAATGAGAAAGTCCAAAGCATTTTAACACACAATACCTAAAACCAACATTTTTCTGACTGTTGCTTACCTAGTATTTAAAGCTACTCTTAACCAGCCAATGACACACAAGCCGCTCCTAACTCCATTAGGCACCTCCCATCACGTCCAGTTTCTCATCAGTTATGCAAAATACGGAAGCCTGGTTGCAACAAACTGTACCAAATGGAGCCTCCAATCCGATGCCAAGTAAATTGGTCAATCCAGACCAGCTAATGAGACACAAAGCTCTAATGTTACACAAAGCTCAACTTAGTCTTAAGTTAAAAATATTAATTCAATACAAAAAGGTATAATCATGACCATGCAACTGTAGGTCACTAATGTCACCACAATGTGCTCTAGATGCTAACACATCCAAAAGGAAGAAGGCCACATCTGTTTCAAATACAAGTCCTTTGGCTTCTTATACTCTTACACTATCTCAAAAAGCCAAACCAACGTTAACCCTGGATTTGGCTCTTTCTTTGTTCCACTCTCTGTGCACAAGAGTGCAACCTCCTCGGTCTGGCAGTCAAGAGCTCTTCCAGGGGTGGCTGCTTGAAATGGCCCCTCACGGTTCACAGGGTGTTTGCATTCTGCTACTATGAATCAGAAACAAAATAATTATCTACTTTGGATGAACCTGATCTATTATTTATTGTTAACTGTGATGCTCAACATCATATGTAATCCTACATGGGCATGTATGAAGAGAAACTGTGTACAAGAGGTTTGTGCTTCATCAAATAGCTGGTCAGTGACACACAAGGCAGAGAGTAATGAGAGTGAGACACCCGTGACCCTTCAACCACATCAACCCTGACATAACTGCCACCACCTCAGGCCAAGGAACAGTGATGAAACGTGTGAGCACACACACACACTGCATCTCAGCTTGCATAATGACAAAAATTGTCGTCAATGTATCGGCAGATTTCAAAAAGCGACAAGGATTTGTGAAATCCTACTGAAGATCCAGGAGGATTTCTGTGGTAGGTACTACTTTTGTTTGTTTCTCTTTTCTTTTCCCCTCCACTTCGGTGCCCAGTGGTGGCCTACTAAGGGTTAAACACTACCACACTCCTCTTATGATGCACATTCCTTTCTATACATGATTAGTAACTTTTAACATCTTTTTTTAATTAAATATACCCCCTGCACTGATGGGGGAGTCTTTCCTTTTTGTTCACTTCCACTGGCTCTCTGATCCGATAAGGTAAACGTATCTTTGCAGTTTGTACCGTAGGTTGGATACTTAGAGATACAGTATATGATAAACTACAGTGAACATGCTTCACTGCTATCTAACATCTACAGAAGAAAAGCAATAAAGTGGATTAAATAATGAAAGGAACTGATAGTTCCAGCCATAATATTCTAGAAATGTCCAATTCCTACATTAGTTTTGGATAACAGTCTGCCCAATTAAACATGTCAATGTTCATCTGTCTTTGTGGATGTAACATGCATTTCTGTCATCTACTGGGTATTTGATTGTACCAATTTTATACAATTATGAGCATTCAAATGGACTGATATCACATAATGTTTATGATGACAAATGTTCTGTGGCTTTGTGACATATCCTGCCTCCTGCACCAACAGTGTAGTTACTGGAAAACTGACAGATTTGTTTCAAGAAACCATCCTGTAGTCCAAAAATAATTTGCTAAGATAGCATCTGTTTGTGCACAAAACACAAACAAACCATGTTTACCCATCAGACCATTATAACCCGTTTCTTTTTATTTAGCTATTGTTAGCATCATGCCCTCGACTGAAGGAGACTTCAGTGACAGATGAAAGTCCAAGGGACGGGGAGTCAGGAGAGGAAGAGGAAGCAGATACCCAGATCTCCATCCTCCACTACTTTCTCTCAGCATCAATGTCTTGTCCTTTCAACAGGTTTTACATACACGATAATAATAATAATAATAATAATAATAATAATAAATACACTGCAACAGCAACAAGACTGGAATATCGATCACATTATGTTTGAATACCCAAATGCATCACCCACATGTGACACAATCTGCCCCCTATCTTTCAGAGGAAGCATGACATTAGTGATAATCCTCAACAATGTGGGGCACACTGAATGTAACTGTGCATGGCTGCTCTTCTTACCTGGCAGACTAAGCAGTAGTGGAGGAGAAGACAGGTGCTCACACAGGCACACACAGCACTGCAGATGAAGCAAGAAAGCATCCAGAACAAAACACTCCACACCAGGGATGTGTGCCTCCCTGTTTGCCCAAGATCCTTTATAAGCATCTATTACCTTCTTTAACCAAGCCTACTGTTGGCTCCTGCTCTGCCTTTCTCCAGGTATTTATCAGCCTGTAAACGCTTGCTGTAAACTGAGGCCGAGTCTAGTAAATAATCCTCCTGATAAAATCTCTCACTTATTTCTCAAATCCCCTCCTTTGCAATGTCTTTTTGTAATCTTAATTCAGTTTCTCCTCTTTCAACATCCTGTCACTCCTCCCTTAATTTCTTCACACTTTCTCATTACTTGATATCTTCTTTGCTGTCATCCAGCAAACTGATCTACCTACAGATATTGAGATTTCTCTTGTTCTTCTACCATTTGCCTGCCTCAACTACTCCCCTGTTCTTTTACTTCCTTCTGCTAAATCATTCACTCTCCTTCCCTGAAGGGACTGGAGATGCCTTCTCTTTAGTAGCCTTTGTTCTCCTTCTCCTCTCAACCCCTAATCCCCACAGGGCCTATCCTGAGCCAATCTCCTTCCGGACTAATAACAGACTGGCAGTGTGGGGGTAGGGGCTACAGGTCTTCCCATACCCTCCCAGTGCTCTTCTACTGTCCACATGACAAATTCCTCAGTACTATGTAGTTTAGAGAGGTGTGTGTGTGTGTGTGTGTAAACAGAGCAGAACCTGTTGGATGACTACCATCAGCTACAGGAGGGACTACATGCTGTATGCATACACTGAGGGTGTTTTCAGGTACTGGCACACCTCTTTACAGAACTAGTTCTATAAAACCACATCCCTTTCCCCTAAGTCAAGGAGTTCAAGCAGCTCAGCGTGGTGAGTGACTGAACGTACACAGTGGAACAGCTTTAGTGAAAAACTCGTTTTAGAAAAGCAACTTTGGACAAAGTTAAACAATGATAGCACTGAGAAGCATTGTGTACTATAGTACTTTTTAATTTTCTCTGAGCCTGGCCTGTAGTTTTTAATCCACTGTGTGACAGCTATAGATTCACATTCAATTTATTGTCATTTCTTTGTGTATTCGCATACATAAAAAAAAAAAAAAAACGCTGTTCTTCCCAGCCCATTACAATGCAACTTCAATAAAAACCCAAATATTTCTAATACAATGCATTCCCAAATATGGCACCTCAAAACAATGCAGTAGTGGTATGCCACATACTATGGTATGTTCAAGTACATAAAAACACCATTATAGCACGGTGTGTTCAAGCGCACCACTAGAAAAAAAAGTGCTGTTCAGTCAGATGTTGCATTCTATCAGTATTTCAATGCTGACAGCCTGTATGTGTCCACAGCTGCCAGTAGATGAGGGGATTAGAATACTATTCAGCATTCTGCTGGATCTGGCACAGATGCTGCACCTCCTCTTCCCTGATGGCAAGAGGGAAAACAAATACTAGGAAGGGTGATGAGGGCAATCTCCAGCAGAGAAAGAAGGGGGCAATGATCCTGCAGGCAGTCTTTACTGTTCTGTTCAGCTGGTGGCGTTCAGCCGCTTTACAGTTACCAAACCAGAAGACAAGGCCGTAGGACAGGATACTTTCTATGGTGCCCCTGTAGAATGTCATGAGGTGTACAGTGGAAAGACCTGCCTTTCTGAGTGTCTGGAGGAGGTGAAGCTGCTGCCTTCTCACACTCACAGGGTCAGTTTTCTGAATTCAGTACTTTTACTACATTTTGTGTCGTTTTCATAGAAGTCTACTTATAATGGAGTATTTTTAAATGTGGGATGACTAGTTTTACTTAAGTAAAGCATCTGAATGTTTCCTCCACCACCACTACATATCATTCATAGAAACATATATTTGAGTAGAAATTAAACATAATAGAAATGGGACTCAAACAGCATATGCATTTTTTACTTTGCGTGATGGAATGTTTTTGCACTTATTAAATTTGACTCATTGATTTTTTTGCAGACATGGTGTGGGAGTGATGTGTGGGACTCTGTATAATGAGTGGCACAAGAAACAAGCCTGCAATTGTGGCTCACGTGAATAAGCTTGCATATACAGTGGGTACGGAAAGTATTCAGACCCCCTTAAATTTTTCACTCTTTGTTATATTGCAGCCATATGCTAAAATCATTTCAGTTCATTTTTTTCCTCATTAATGTACACACAGCACCCCATTTTGACATTATTGCAGATTTATTAAAAAAGAAAAACTGAAATATCACATGGTCATAAGTATTCAGACCCTTTGCTCAGTATTTAGTAGAAGCACCCTTTGGAGCTAATACAGCCATGAGTCTTTTTGGGAATGATGCAACAAGTTTTTCACACCTGCATTTGGGGATCCTCTGCCATTCCTCCTTGCAGATCCTCTCCAGTTCTGTCAGGTTGGATGGTAAACGTTGGTGGACAGCCATTTTCAGGTCTCTCCAGAGATGCTCAATTGGGTTTAAGTCAGGGCTCTGGCGGGGCCATTCAAGAACAGTCACGGAGTTGTTGTGAAGCCACTCCTTCGTTATTTTAGCTGCGTGCTTAGGGTCATTGTCTTGTTGGAAGGTTAACCTTCGGCCCAGTCTGAGGTCCTGAGCACTCTGGAGAAGGTTTTCGTCCAGGATATCCCTGTACGTGGCCGCATTCATCCTTCCCTCGATTGCAACCAGTCGTCCTGTCCCTGCAGCTGAAAAACACCCCCATAGCAGTATGCTGCCACCACCATGCTTCACTGTTGGGACTGTATTGGACAGGTGATGAGCAGTGCCTGGTTTTCTCCACACATACCACTTAGAATTAAGGCCAAAAAGTTCTATCTTGGTCTCATCAGACCAGAGAATCTTATTTATCACCATCTTGGAGTCCTTCAGGTGTTTTTTAGCAAACTCCATGCGGGCTTTCATGTGTCTTGCACTGAGGACAGGCTTCCGTCGGGACCCTCTGCCATAATAACAAAGAGTGAAAAATTTAAGGGGGTCTGAATACTTTCCGTACCCACTGTATAAGAAGAGTCATCATGTGTAGGCTACATGTTCAAAGTTTCAATACATATTTTTGTCTGTTTGTGCTCTCTCTCTCATTAGCTTACCCTCATTTTCCCCTTGTTTTCTGTTCCACTGTATGTCTCAGTGGCTCTGGGGAAAATATTAAGCCTTTTTTGCAAGGCTTAATGTGGGGAGGAGAAAAAGTGTCTCATAAGGGAGGAGAGTAATCTTAGAAGAACTTCATAAATGTGCATTGCTGGGCTGATGTTTGTGGGAATTTACATCCAACAACATTTGAACGTCAGGGACACAGCAGATACTGTCGGAGAGCAAGACAGAACAAGACAAGGAGAAAAAAAAACAAAAAAAAAAAAACAAGTACCATATATGGCAAAGACGTCGCCTAGCAACCGGATCTGCCTTCAGCCCAATTTTCCATGACACGCACTCAACTCTGAATGCAAGACCACATCGTTGTGAGTATGTGTGTGTGTGTCTGAGTATGCATGTGTGAGCAAGTATCTGCTCACGTCACCAAGCGTTCAAAATGCAACTGGTTTGTCTAGGAGGTGACAGCGAGGCCACGGTTTCTCAGTAGCAAGAAACGTGTGCACATGCCCGCCTTCAATCAATTACTATACAACAACAGCCGAGCTTTTACTTTTCCTCAAATGTGAGGACAAACTGTGCCCATTAAAAACCACACTCTTATCAGAAACCACAGGCCACCGTCACCCCGTTTGTTACAACAGATGAAGTGCAATCCACAGGTTGCTCATTTCCTGGCTGTCAGCGTAAATAGCCAGGAAACAACACTGTCCACTGGCCTGCTAAGACAAATGATCACTAGTGGAACTCACAGCAAATAAATTAAGCTTGCCATGTAGGTATTCTCACAATTTGATTTCAAATCAACAACTGGCACAGAGACAGTACACATAAGAAGGAGAAACCAGGAGTGCTATGTTGGAAGTGTTTGGTGTACAAAGTGCACAGAGGCGGCTACAGAAACACCTCGGTCCAAAACTCCGACATAGTACACAATGGGGGAATTACTGGCTACACTCGAAATGCATGTATATCTACACAGTGTATCCAGCCCATCATAAAACACCAAATAAGAACTATACATACTTTAAAATGTGGGACTGATGCAACAAACCTTCTGTTTACATTTGGATAATTACAAAATATTGTACTTTCTTTTTAGCTGGAGGTTTGTAATAATAAAAGTTTGCCCCATACTCTGGAGCACTTTGAGATTTGCTGGAGTGAGAGAAAGACAAAAAATGTCAAACTTAATACAGTACAATTCTTTATTTTTATTACAATTTAATTTTTCATTTAAAAAGTTATAAAAATGTTTGTGTATGTTGTCAGTTGCAGTTCTTAGAAATAAAAAGAATTTGAATCTGCAGGTCAGACTTAGAAGAAGAAAAAAAACTGATATTGGAATCGGCCAAGAATATTGCAATCAGTGCATCTTTAATGAGAATTATTTTTGGCCACAGTTCTGAAGCTGTGACTACATACACAGAAGTTCAGATTTCATTTACTAAGGTGAACCTGTGGGATGTTGGACAGGTTCATAATAAGGAGATCACAATATTTGTGTTCAGAGAACCTGACTTAATATGATGATTCATTTATTTAGGTTAACAAGATATTAAGATACTGAATTTGAGATTGTGTGTATCATGCAAGTATTGTTGGTTCTCTTTAGTCCTTTGTTGTTTTGTTCAATGTGGTGGTCATTAGGACTGTGCCATTCTGTTTAGCTGATTTGTGTTTGGGAAACTGAAATGACTTATTTTTTTTATACAAAAGAAAGCTGTAATAGTCCACACTACTGTCTTTACGTTTGTCTGTGTGGACCTGAGCACACTCCCTGATACACATTTGTGACTCGAATGAGCATAGCAACATACCAAACATCAGTCATCTCTTAGACGCCCATCTCCACCTCACGGTGATCATAAAGGGAGCAAGGTTTGATAAAAGAGTCATGTCTTCCTCCTCTGAAACACCTGACAGGTGTACACTGTCGGCTGTGGAAAGGTATCTGGAGCTAAATGATTAAAAATAAGTATATCTTGTGCCACTTTTCTAAGTTTTGGGAAGTGAATTATGAATAACATGCAGACGTGCTGAACATTTTTCAACATGCACGCTTAGTGGCGTGACCCCAGTGGAAAGCACGGGACATTCAGGATTCACACGCTGCCCAGAAGATGTGGACATGCAAGAAGACCGTCTCCAGGGAAGACATCCTCTTTATAAGACTGATCTCAATCCAGGCATTTCTAGCCACAGTGCATCAAAGCCTTTGTCTCAGGGGGTAGGCATCAAAACTTCCTACACGGAAACTCTAAACTGCATCTCATGCCTCCAGAAAAGGAAACTCTTGAGCCTCAGGGGCAGTAAACTCAATTCTAGATTGCTCTGATAGCATCTATGGCAACTGTCATGGGATGACACATCATCCAAACAAGCAATCATACTGTTCAAAAGGTCTTACAGCTGAGCTCATCAACACCATGTGATCATGAGCCACAGAAGATAAGAGCCTGTTTCTGTCCTATTTAGTTTAAGCCAGTTCTAGCTCTGCTGTTTATCAAGGTGGTCCAACGATTGAAGCTTTGAACCACACATTAAACTAAATGTCTCTGATTTTCTTTGTAATTTAAAATTAAAGATCCACACTGTGTAGCAAACCTTACTGACTTGAAGGACCATCATGGGGATTACCTTCAAATATCAGTAACACAAAGTCTAAACAGCCTCTTCCCATCTGACCACTGACGTGCACTTCTGCCTAGTGAACTGACCAACAGCCGTGTGACAAACATGACATTTGTATAGCCTGACAGTAGCTGATGTCAGTGGATCATTGTGCAACATGTATTTGTGCACAACAGCTGCATAAATATGGAAATACATGTTATGTGTCTTCAAGCTGCTCTGAACCATCTGATAATTAAACCAATAGTCTGTGACAAGATATAGGAGTGTTGATGTGCATGTGTCCTGTAAGCAGGGTATGTGTGTGCGCACATATGTATTAGAACATTTAACATTTTTTGTTTTGCCTTTTCATCCATAACCACTATAATTTTGCCCCTGTCACGGTGGTCTGCTCTGGTGAGGAAGGGGGTTTAATCACATATGTATGTATATTCTGGTTCTGGATATGGTCGGTTGCACAATACCTGTATGGTAGTTGAAGCAGTATGAATTCTTTTGGTGGGAGCTGTGAATGAAATGCTTACAAGTTCCTGGCGGTAACTGAACTGCACAGACCATTTTAACAAGTTATCAGTTGTTAAAAAAAGAGGAGAGACACTCACCCCTGATCCGTCGTCCGGGCTACACAGAGAGCGGCCCGGAGACAGACTGGACTCGATGTCGCTCCCAGTAAAGTCGTCCTCTGACTCCTCGAAGGACGAGGCGGAAGACAGGCCGATGGAGGAGGAGTTGGACAGCTTCCTCGGGGAGCGCATCAGGGCAGGGGACCCTCCGCAGCCGCTGTCTGAGCAGGGAGACTCGTCGTCGTGGTGAGGCTCCAGACACGAGCAGGTGCTGAACTCAGTTTGGACGGTCAGCGGGGCCTGTGTCCCCTGAGAGCGGACTGGACTGGTGTCCCTGGTTATGATGAGTTTGGGTATGGTTCCTGGGAAATTCTGTCCTCCTGCTGGACTCTGGTGGGCCTGTTCAGATTCCTTTCTGCTCTGGGTTTTGGCCGGACAGCAGTTATTTTGGTCACCGGCCACACTGGGTGGACACGAAACGGTAATACCATCAGTTTTTGTCATTTTAGCTTCAATGAGATCGTCCGTTGTCGACGATCCACTATGTATAGGTTGATCCAGGAGCGAGCTAGACAAAGTCCTCTCAGCGTCGGGGCCAGAGGTGAGCAGCAGGGCAGGGTTCAGACCAGTCCCCGTCAATGCCCTTCCCTCAGACCCAATTCTATTCTGGCTGCTTCCCCCCAGCGGCTGATCTTCCATGGCCCTCGTCGGGGGATTGGAGGCATTGTCCTCTCGCTCGGGTTTCGGCTCTTCACAGCCCACACCGCTGAATTCACCGGCCCGAGTCTCCAAACCTGACGCATCGGACGACCCGGCCGCTGCTTCTCGGTTCACGGCGTGCTGGATAGCTTCGGTATGGTCATCTAGCCCGGATGGTGTCTCAAAAAAATCCGGGGCTGCTTGGTGTTCTCCAACCGCCGTCACAACCTCGTCCCTCGGCAACTTTCCTACTCTGTGATCCCGGCGCGTTGCGGGATCTCCGGCTTCGTTTCCGCAACCTAAATCATCTTCTGTTTGGCTGGAGTCTCTCTTTCTCCTCCCCAGACATGACAACACTTTACTTTTCATCGGATTTCTCTTTAAATGCCCACTCACTCGTCGCTTCCCTCCGCTCCTAAACCTGCGGAGACGGAGTCGCTGGGCTGTCTCGCCTGCTCTCCATTTCGCTTTGCCTGTAGTGGCGGAGCTGTGCGATAGATCCGAGCAAGTTTGGCCCATCCTGCATACCGTAGTAGTAACACTGACCTGGACACACCCTCAGAGAATGATTTTGAAATAGTCGAAACCAATGAAACCTTGACTCCTCACATGAACACTTGGTCATTAGTCATAGATTCCGATTATTTATCCCAGAAAATCTTAAATTCATCCACCCCTTTCCTCCAGGCAAGGACCGCCCCTATCTGTGGAGACAAACAGATGATGAATAATTTAGTAAATAAACACATTAAGTGCATGAAGTCAACATAACAGTACACTGTCACACCAAGTCCAATATTCACCCTGCTCATTCTTAATGGGCCCCAGTAAACGCTGGCTGTCGACAGAGTTGTGATTTATCAGCTCTGAAAGTCAGATTTTATCTCCTGGAGCAGGCCACAGAAACTGTCAGGGGAAAGTCAGATCCACTGAACTTGCACTTAGGGTTTATTAGCTGGAAAATATGACATGAATATTACAATAGAGTGCAAAACACATCAAAAGTTTCAGGGAGTTTGAGAGTCAGTTTCACCAGTGTTAGTCAGCGTAATACTGCCCTCCTCTGTCCAGACACTGTTCCTTTGTCTAATAGCCTTGTTATAAAACTCCCAAGGCTGGTACAGTGGGCATAAAATATGGCCAGTATAAAAGCGGTAGCCACACTGCTGTGCAAAACAAAACTGGGTCCAACTCCAGAAGACATGCTGACTCAGATTTATATCCAACACTATTTGACTTTGCAACATGGGGCTGCAACTAAGCATTATTTCCATTATCAGTTACACTGGTTGACAAAAGAAGATATTTTAAGATGTCGCATTATGCTTTAAATCAAATCAAATTGTATTTGTATAGCACCAAATCACAACAAAAGTCATCTCAGGACACTTTACAAAGTAAGGTCTAGACCTTACTGTTATCAATATTATTACAGAGGGAAAACCCAACAATCCCCCCTTGAGCAAGCACTTGGCGACAGTGGGGAGGGAAAAACTCCCTTTAACCCCAGACAGACCCCGGCTCTTGGTGGGCGGCCTTCTGCCTCGACCGGTTGGGGTCAGTGGATAGATGAGAGACAAAAGCTTTTGGAAAGTGTGATAACACTGTCATTTGTCACTAGTTTCTATTTTATTAACCAAACAATTAATCAACAAATCATGAAAATAATCAACAGAATAATCCATGACGAAAATAATAACCTTTAGCCCTAGTAATATTACAGCATGTTAAAAAAAATAGTATGTGGGCTTCGACTTCTATGTTTGGTCCTAATCTATAGCACAGGCATGTTGTGACACATTTCACAACATGTGTTGTGACACATGGGCCCAGACACATATCAGGGCCCTGCCTCTCCTGCAGGAGCAAGACTCTCCCATTGAGCAGCCATGTGATGTGTAATCAGTTTGTGTCTTCTTCTGGTAGTTTTTCCATCTGTCTATAACCATTTTTTGTTAATTTCTACTCATCTCGCACCTATTTTTATTGGTTCTGCATCTTTTTGTGGTTGTTTTGTGTCTCTTTTTGTAGTCATTTCACTGCCTTTGGAGTTTATCTCTATTTATCTCTCTTCGTTTAGTATTTTTGGGGAGGTTGGCTTTTTTAGTCATTTTGTACTTGATTGATTTTATGATGGAGAGGTTAACAGCCCCTTCATGGTTCACTGGCCCTGTGCCTGATATGTCCATTCAGGAATCCATCCATCATTATTAGTGAAATATGTTAAAGTAAACACTGAAAAGGTTTAGAGTAACTGATAAAGTCCAGTGTGCACACAGTCATAAATTCCAACCTACACTTACTAATATTTTTCACATGAATATTTTTGTCATAAAAATTGTTATTAGACATGATTTTTACTATTTAACATGTTTTAAACTTTCAGAACAGAGACATGTGAGAAACTGAAGCTGATACTGCAAAGGTTTAGAGTAACTGATAAAGTCCTGTGTGTCAAATTCCAACCTACACTTACTAATCTTTTTTCACATAAATATTTTTGTCATAAAAATTGTTTTTAGACATGATTTTTACTATTTAACATGTTTTAAACTTTCAGAACAGAGACATGTGAGAAACTGAAGCTGAAGGGTGTTTTGTCTTTCATGTGTAACTCTCTGTACTGTGATGTAATCAACTACAGACTGTTCCAGATGAAAATAGACACACCCATCAATTGTAGGCTATGTGTGTGTTTCAGTATGATTAGCATCTAAGCCGTGTTATCAGGGTGTGCCTTTTCAACTATATTTATATATCGGTATATATATATATAGTACTGTTTGAATCCATTTTATTGCAAACAACTCTGTATGCTCATGCTGACTTGTCTCCTTGCTGCAAGTAAACTAATTATTTACAAAGATTCCAGTGACTTTGTTGCTTCATTAAAAATTCCTTTGACAATTTTGCATGTAAACAAAAATGGCATCGTGCCTCCTGCTAAAAACACATTTCATCATTCTGTATAATATACAGCATGGCATCGTAGAAACATTCAAAACATTCTACATGTGACTAATTACTGAGTGTTATTTACTATCAGGGCGCTGCAGTGACTCTGCAGTCAGGAGGGAATGTGCATGAAACAGGAAGTGAGACAGGAAGGATAACAGTGGAAAGAACAGGTCATCATATACCACACACACACACACACGAGTAGTCTTGTGTAACCAAAATCATAAAGAATGATACATACTGGTTCAGTCAGGGCATGCATGACAATCTTGTACCATTATAATGATTCAGACAGGGCATGCATGACAATCTTGTACCATGCTGACATCGAATGGGTTCTTTAAAACACATGTGCACACACACACACATTAAAAGTGACACACACTTTCTGGGAAGTTGGTCACCCATTGAAAACATATAAAACACCAAAAATGGTCTAAGATACCTGAGGAATAAATGACACTAGTCACACACACCATCATGACTTATCTGTATACATGCACCGTGGAAAGACAATGTTTTTCCATTATACGTTGTCCTGCTCTAAAATTAAATAACATCTTTAAATAATACAACAGTCATTCTGTGCAAGTATATTTAGTGAGCTATGAATTTAAAGAATAGTTCACAGTTTGGTGACAATTTTGTTTCTAAAGCACAGAACATGAGTAAATGTACCAAGCAGTCTACAGCTTTGAAGTACTTGTAGCCTACTTGTGTATTTCCATTTTAAGTTACTTTATATTTTACTCCACGTGTTCAGTTAATTTGAAGACGCAATTAAAACATATGACCAGGTTATAATGATGCATTGTCAGATTAAACTACCTACAGTAGTTCACATCCTACAGGCAACGCTAATACTCCAAACATATAGATATTACTATGAAAGGGTGTCGTTCTGTTGCCTAGAAGCACTTTTATTTATGACTTGGACACATTTTACTGCTAAAATACTTTTGTACTTGTGTAAGTTCTACTTATGAGTGCAAGACGAAACGGGTTATTCTGAAAGTAAAGTATTACTAGGCTACTTGTAACTTACTTCAGTGAAACAATTGAACGGTTCTTCATCACAAAATGCTGCCTGATAGATTTCAGGTGGCATTTTAAATCTATTCATTTGGTAAAATATGAAACCAATACAGAAACTAAATAATACATACAACAAAGGTTAAAATATACTGGGTTTCTGCATTAGTGTGATGGCAACACTAAAATGCCATCTTTTGTTTACTAAGACTTTGGAGACATTTTAAAGAGACAGCGAGCAGCTAAAATCGAAGGACACACTGGAAAATGATTAGAGGAAACCTACCAGGCAGCCCCTGAGTTCCTCCTGTGGCGTGTGAAGCAGCTGTTAAATGCTGGCAGTAACGTGGAGGTTGGGGTATAACTTTCCACCAGGGTGCCGACATGTGCCTAATCTGTACGGTTAATAGCGTGTGCAGTGCTGCCGTGCTGTGCAGGATCAGCGTGTGGCTGAAGTAAGAGGAAACGCTCGTTAAAGGAGGGGCAGGTCTAGCTACTGTTCAAGTGGCACCTGAGGTGACTGTTAACAAACGCGAAGTAGCTAAAACAGAAATGTCAACACGTATCTGTGGTTAAACACGGTGTTTAAGAAGCGACCGAAACATTTTATAAATAGTAAGAAATTATAAAGCTATAGCCAGTTATGCCCTTGTGCCAAACAAAACGCTACCATGGAATAGCACGCGACCTAAAACTGGCACGTCTGTTGGCTTTAAATGCGCTGCCTTCAAAGCTCGCCGGAATTTTGTTTTTTTTTTTACTTCTAAAGTGTGGAAAAGTTCGCTTATTGCCTTTTCAGCCATAGATTTTGTGTGCTACGGAGTATTTATGGAAGCGTGATGGCGGATGTAGGCTCATAAATAAACTACAGTGCCCACGCTCGTCCTAATTATTAAGTCTTTCAGTACAACAGTCACTGTGACTCGGTGATGTGTTCTTGATATTTATGGCAACAATGGAGATCTATGGCACAGAGGAATAAGCTATAGCAAGCCTTCAGCCTGCTACACAGGTAGCCTAATGCTAATGTAGGATAAATTTATTGTTGATTTGTGGCTGTGGTTTTAGTGAGTAAAATATTGAATAACACTAACAGTAGGCTATCCCATAAAGGAAAAGGGGAGTGCTTTTGTTGCAACAAGAACTCAGTTGTAAATAAGGTGCAAAATACGTTTATGTAAACAAATGTCAATTAACTTTATCTTGTGAAATCCATACAGTGCAGAGTAATTTAAGACACAGAGGGTTAAGTGACTTGCGTAGTTATTACTGTGCATGTAGTTGATGGTGCCCCTTTAAAATCGGACAAAAGGGGTATGGAAAAATAAAAATAAAACCCTGTTATTGAGACGTTGTAATTCGACTGACTTTTTAAAACTATTTAATGTTTCGAATATTTGACAAAACTGACAGATTTAATTTGTATTATAATATCGTTATCCGTTGAATATTAAACACTTTGGGGTCGTTCACAAAAATTCATTTTGTCTCGCTGGTAGCCTCATATGTGTGAAGTTTACTGACAGTATCTGAACGCAGCATGTGCCTTTTGGTCCGTGCGCGTTTTTTTCGATAATTTTCTATATCCAAGGTTATGCTTGGATATAGAAAATTCGATTCAAGTTGAACAAACCCAATTCAAAGGTCATATTTTGTTTTGCTGTGCTTCTTTTGAAATTGGCATAGCTATTTTTCCTAAACGCAAACATTTGTACATTTGGCACATATGGGTTTCCGTAGCCACGGAAGTAGCCTTTCACGTTACCCATCAGAGCCATAGATCAGGGCGCCGGTGTGACATTCAGCGGATTTTCAGAGTTCGGGTCTGTGTAAAAGGAAGGGTACAACCACTATATGCCGATCAAGTTTGTGTCAAAATGAGAGTACTTAAAGCGGGTCTTTATTTGGCTAAAACGCACCTTTTGGCACCGGGGAGCGTCACTCTTAAAAAGGTAACATGAGGTTTTTGCAATTGACATCAAACCTCTCACGACCAACTCGGCTGTCATTTGCATTTCACAATCAGTAAACAGTCAGAGGGGGTTGAATATCGATCTCCTTCTGTGTCGTCTCCACAGGTGCTCATCAGCAGCTCTCGGACATGCTCCTCCGATGTCTTTCCCAACGAGAGGATACGCAATATCGGGATCTCCGCTCACATCGACTCGGGGAAGACCACCCTGACCGAGCGTGTCCTCTACTACACCGGACGGATAGCAGAGATTCACGAGGTGAGCTCTGCGACGGACCCTGTTTGTTTTATTAATCGAGCTGTTGTTGCTGTCATGTCAGGTTTGCAGGTGCACCGTTTGCATCCTTGGGTTGTTTTCCCACTATGGGACTTGGGCGCAAAAGTGAGCTGTGGGCCCCTAAACTGGATTTTAATACAGATTAGGTTGTGGGCTCTTTACTGTTTATTTGTACATTGACGGTTATCCCAAAAACAAATGAAAGAAATCACTATAAAGTAATATGGATAATAGCTTATTAGTAACAGTAAACACAACTCTTGGGTCTTTAGGGCCCCATGAGGGTTTTGGGTCCTAGGAAAGCTGCCTGCTTTGCCCATTTTGTAATCCTGTCCTGGTCTTCTTCCCCTGCGGTTTGCAGGTGAAGGGGAAGGACGGTGTTGGAGCCACTATGGACTCTATGGAGCTGGAGAGACAGCGAGGCATCACCATCCAGTCAGCTGCTACATATACCGTGTGGAAGAGCCACAACATCAACATCATTGACACTCCAGGTACTAAAGGCTTACCTGTAATTTTGAGGTATCTGTTTTGTACTTCACTGTATTTCTAATTCATACTCTTGTATATTCAGTGTTATTCTCAGTGGCCCCACAGCTGCTCAAATTCTAAAGGAAAGCTGTCAACATTTGTACATTGTGATTAATGTGCAGCTACAGGGAAATGCACAAGTTACTCTGGTGAAAGTGTAATAAGTAACAATAAACATGCTGTAGAAAGTGGGGCATCCTGGTGGTACTAACCATATAGTTGCAAGGTCACCGGTTTGATTCCAGCTCTCTTCATTTTCTGTCAACTCAGGTGTAAAAATAAATGTAAAAATATTTAGTGGCATTTGTGTTTATGATCAAGGGGTTTGTGTTTGACTGGACACTGAGATGAAGCAATTTCATCAGCTCCAGGGCTGTAGCTGTGTTGTAAATTAAACATATTGCTTTATCATGTTTACTGTATTTAGCTTTCAAATGTCCTGCTGTCTTCCCAGGTCACGTGGATTTTACCATTGAGGTGGAGCGAGCGCTGCGTGTGTTGGACGGAGCCGTGCTGGTTCTGTGTGCAGTGGGAGGAGTCCAGTGTCAGACCATGACTGTGAACAGACAGATGAAACGCTATAACGTCCCCTTTCTCACTTTCATCAACAAGCTGGACCGCATGGGTGCCAACCCCAGCCGAGCCCTGCAGCAGATGAGGTTCAGTATCCAGCTGTGGAAAAAATTTACTTTCATCCATGTTAACAGAAATGCTCCTGATCAACTGGCCAAAGAGCTGTGTCTACTTGCATCATGATGGTCTGTTTAACTGTGACTGCTACATGCATCCAGATTGCCTTTCCGGAACTTCTTCAGTTTTATTAGTTTTAGATAAATCAAAAAAATAGATACAAGAAACACATTCAGTTGTATCCATAAGGTACAAACAATAACAGAGTGAAGCCCAAAGTTTTTTGTTTTTTTTTTGCATTCAGTAGTTGACATAAAATCAAGTATTCCACAAACAATATTGTAATCTGCTGAACTCTTCTTTTCTGTGTTTTTGCTTTGTGATTTTTTTCCACATTGAGAATTTGTCATATTTTATCTATAGAACAAAACTGAACCACAACGCAGCCTTTGTGAACATCCCCATTGGCCTGGAGGGGAACATGCGCGGCATCATTGACCTTGTAGATGAGCGGAGCATGTATTTTGAAGGATTATTTGGGTAAGGGATTTCTCTCTTGGTGCTTGACCACCTAATAGTGTAATCTTGTTATTTTGACAAACACTGTATTTGCAAACCTAATAGGGAATAATCCCTGCTTTTTTTGCTGGTTCTACTAAATTGTGTCTCAGTTTTTAGCAGTGGGAGTGTTTTTTTTTCTTTTTCTTTTTTTACCATAAATGAGACGAATTTCCACTGTAGTCAAGCTGCACACCTGCAGGTAACGGTAGGGAGAAAAAAATCAAAACCAGCATTTGTCAGTTTACACATCATACTTCCTCTCCCTGATTCACAACCTTTGAGAGTCTCTTCCTGAATTCAAAACAACATCTTTCTACCTGCAGTGAAACTGTCCGATATGATGAGATCCCGGCAGATTTTCGTGCTGAGGCTGCAGATCGGAGGCAGGAACTGGTGGAGTGTGTGGCTAATGGTGATGAAACCTTGGGAGAGATGTTCTTGGAGGAAAAAATTCCAACAAATGATGACCTGAAGGTTTGTGGCCTGGATTTTATTCCCATTCAAGGAAATCCTAAACTATCACGTAACACTTTATTGTGTGAAAAAAGTCTCGCATGCGAGAGTTTGCAAGACGTGTATAAACCGAGTTGCTTCTGCATAGAAACACTAGAACATACATACACCTCATTTTTTGAGCTTTAGGTCATGTCTAAGATGAGACCGTTGTAACATTGTAGATAAGTCAGAAAACAAGGAGAAGCGCCATGGCCTCTTTAAAAAGAGTGGCTAGAGCATGTGAGAGATCTGAGCGGTTTCAGAAAATTATAAACAGGTCTTTAAAGTTTTTGAGAATGAAATATCTTTTTTTGTATTTAATGGAAAAAAACAGCACTCAACTGTACATTGACTAGCACCTCGCTCCCATCGAAAACTATGATATACGCATAGTATTAAAATAACAATTTTCACCATTACTTCCTGACTTAAATAAACAGCCACAGTGGTGCTTTTGACTAAATGCTGCTATAAGCAAAGTAAAATGTAAACTGCAGATGTCTAACAGGTGGGATGTTTCCCATTTTATTTTAGCAGCTTAGCATGCTAACATTAGCAAATTAAGCCTGAACATTAAGGATGTAATTAGTTTGGTCATAAACTATAGAATCAGCTTTATTGGCCAGCTCTGTTGGACACGAGGAATTTGACTTTGGTCCAGCTCAATGTGCACGTACAATGCAAGATAACAAAGATCTCATATAAACTAATTGTTAAAAAAATGAAGTTAAGGGATCACTAATGTTTTTCCAATTCATTTTGAGGGGAACATGAATCATGTCTGATAGTTGTGCAGCGATTTCAGTTAAAACCACAAATGTCAACCTGCCTGAAGAAAAGTCAGTCCATCCACTAGTTTAGAGAATATACATCAGTCTGGACCAGAGCGATGGATCTAGCAGCGCTGCTAGGATTGCTAATAAAAATAAGGCATCTTTGACCAGTTTTTGTTCAAAACATGAAACATTTTTACTGGTCAGGAAACTGCACTTACAAAATCATTTAAAATGCCTCAGATTCTAAACCAGGACACGAACACTTTACATGAGTGAAGCATAAAAACAAACTGGAGCATGTAGCTCTCCCTCAAACTCTTGTCACTTTACAGGCTGCAATCCGCAGAGCTACAGTGCGGCGCCTCTTCACCCCAGTGCTGGTGGGCACGGCGCTGAAAAACAAGGGTGTGCAGCCACTACTGGATGCTGTCCTGGATTACCTGCCGAACCCCACTGAAGTCAAAAACTATGCCATCCTCAATGCTGAGTGAGTGGTGTTGTCGTTCTGCATGCACTGTGGCTGAAAGTAGATTTAATGTTTCAGGGAATTTCTTCCGACAAAGAGTAATGGAATTTTGTGTGCTGATGTCTGTGGGTTTTCACCATGTTAGGGATTCCAGTGAAACATCAAAAATTCAAATGAACCCGAGTCTGCAAACCCCTTTGTTGGTCTGGCCTTCAAACTGGAGGTAGGTCATAATGAGGAATGAGATCTTTGTTATCTTGCATTGTCATAGCGTTTGCATCATTTCTCCAGTTGTGCTCAACAGGAAGGCCTCAGTCTGTCATGCTTTGTTGTTTCCTGTGTCTTCTGCATTAACAGGCAGGGCGGTTTGGTCAGTTGACGTATATACGTGTGTACCAGGGCTGTCTGAAGAAGGGGGAATACATCTACAACACACGCACGAGCAAGAAAGTCAGAATTCAGAGGCTTGTGCGTCTCCATGCTGATCAGATGGAGGTGAGAACAAATCGATGTACGCCAGCAGCTCTCACCTACGGTTTGCAGCTTAAACTGCAGAGGAACATGATAGGTCAAAACAGTAATGTTCCTCTTTTGGCTTCAGTTGAGTGTGTAGATAATTACCACATCCTCTGTGATGACATGTTTCCATTTGTCTTGCATCAAAACAAAACATGGAACATCAACAGCAAGACATATTTATTATTTCTGCACATATTTTAGTTATTAAAAATAAGACTTGGATCAAATCACTCCTAACATGCAATAGCTTGTCCTCTACTTTTCCATCATTGCTTTGTTGCCTTACTGTACCTGCTGTTTCAGGATGTGGATGAAGTTTATGCAGGAGACATCTGTGCTCTGTTTGGGATCGACTGTGCTAGTGGAGACACTTTCACAGCTAGGACCAGCGCTAACCTCTCCATGGTGAGTGGCTTTAGTGTGTCCACTATGAAAAAAGGCCTGTGAGAGAGCAGGTAACCTGAACATTTTAAAATTTTATTCCAAAGTATAAGAAGAATCTTGTGTTTATGTGTCATCATTTTGTCCCACAGGAATCAATTCACATCCCAGACCCTGTCATTTCCATGTCAATGAAGCCAGCCAACAAAGTAAAAACAGTTTTAATTTAGCCATATGTACTGTACAAATCTAACCACAGAGTCAAAATTGCACCTCTGACTCCTTCCTTTTATTATTGTGTACCTGACAGAATGACATGGATAAATTCTCCAAAGGTATCAACCGCTTCACGAGGGAAGACCCGACGTTCAGGGTGCATTTTGACAGAGAGAGCAAAGAAACCATCATTTCAGGCATGGGCGAGCTGCACCTGGAAATCTACTCCCAGGTACCCAGTCAGATAGTGTGCCACTCAAGAACAGACTGCATGCTTAATACAAAGTGTAACAATAACTTTGGTGCATGGATGGGACACGGTGGAACTGACTTTTCTTTTACTGATAGTCCTGTGTATCGAGTTAGTCTGGAGTTGTCAGAAGAAGCTATCACTAATACTCATACTTTTGAATGCAGGGCTTTTACTTGTAACATAGTATTTTTGCACAGTTGTATTGCTACCTTTACTTAAGTAAAGGATCTGAGTACTTCTTCCACCACAGCGCTAACGCAGTGAGCCGAGCTGTAGCTGAGACCTCCAAACGTCAGGAAGTCAGACTGAACATTATATGGATATATCAGTCTCTGCATACAAACACTTTCCGTTTATACTTGGTCTGACCTATGTTTCTGTTGGTGTTTGGTTTGTTGTTTCAGAGGATGGAGAGGGAATACAGCTGTCCATGTGTGATGGGAAGGCCCAAAGTGGCTTTTAGAGAGACGGTCGCCAGTCCTGTACCGTAAGTCCTTGTGACACACACACACACACACACACTGCACAGCCTGACTAAGGCAGTAGTCTGTAGAAACAGTTTAATTGAGCTATAATAAACCAACGATACAGGACAATGTAAGGATACAATATCATTATATATGATGCACTACTATAACTCCCGATGGTGGAAACTCCACCCTTCTGCAGTTCAAAGGGTTTGTATCGCAAACATCAGCAGTAGATCTTCATTTAAAACTGGCAGCTTCATCATCGACACATTCATGCTCCGGTATTTTGAATACAAGGCGTTGTTTTAGTCGTAATGGCAGTGTGACACATGTCAGCCGTTTAGTTTATGTTTAGAGGCTGTTTACAGTGACAGCGAGGCAGCTTCTCCGTCTGTAGCACTTTTACTCCCTCTGAAGGAGTCCAGGTGAACAGCAGTTTCCAGCGAATGATCTCCTGTAATAATATAACACAGAGTGCCAGATGAACACGAGGCATCAGAGAGTCAACTACTACATATTTAGCATGAGATTAAGTGTTAGTGCTCTTCCTAACTTATCTGTGTATGAGATCAATCTACAGTGAGATGCTATTAGTAGAGTGGCTACTTTATCAAGTGGTCATTCACATAAGCAATTAATCAATTTATTTATCAAGAAAATATGATGAACATTCATTAACAGCTTCATAAAGCCTGAGAGATTTCTTTTCTGTTTTATATGAGATTATTAAACATGGATTTAGTTGCATATTGCTCTAAAATGTCAAAGTTTTGGATATAATAGAAACTGTGGTAGCCATCGTGTTATTCAAGAATTTTATAAATTAAGATATTTAGATACCTGAGTTATTGATTATCCTGAGTTGTAGCCCTTGATATTACTATATGTATTAGGAAGCAATGGAAAAATGTTTGTAATAATAGTACTTATTTACCTGGGACACCACGTCATGCAGCAGTATCTGATATTCAAACTTCAGCTGGTCGTTCTCCGTTGCCTGCAGCAGACGAGGGAAACATAAAGTGAGTCCAATACAAGCGTTAATGTTTAATCTTAAGACAATGTGCAGCCTCTGTTCTGCACCAACGTTGTGAATGTATTAATTATTGAGATTGTGCAGAAGCTCTCCATCTGTAGTGCACCTGAATGTGGCTCATCTGCTGCACATTCATCATGGATTGTACCCATTAAAGGGGGGATTATCATCAGTCTTACTTCAACAAACCATTACTCCTGTGGAAAATTCATGAGTGGATTAAAGCACCTACCAGCTGCGTGACGTTGGCCACCTGAGCCATGTTGTACAGTGTGTTTTCCGTGGATTCATTCAGCATGATGTAGCTGGAGGCTATGATGCCCAGATGCCAGAACGGCTTCATGTCAGGCTCCATGTGGCCGTGGCTGTCTGTTGGTCAGCGTGTTATAGAGGAGGTCAGATTGCATGTATGCACTGTGGTAATGCAACACGTATCATGTAAACATATGTATGCTCATAGTGTACAGTAGATTCAAGATTCATGACAACATCGTGTTGTGCTAGTAAGAGCAACACTGAGCTCACTTTAAAACCACAAACTGCCAATGTTGAAATCCCAAAATGCTGCAATTTCAGACAGCGGTGTTGTGCAGTAACGGACTTTGTGTTCAGGAGCAGCAACAGTTTATGAGTTTGTTTTATTGTACCAGGTAAATGCTGTGTTGACAGCAGGCTTTGGTTCGTCTTGTACTTCTGGTACAGGGCCTCTTCTTGTTCTTTAGTGCTGATTTTAAGCAGCTCCTCACATGAGGCCTGGACCTGGGGTGAGCTCTGATTCTGTCCCCTGGGAAAGAAAACCTCTGCAGAGACTTTCTCTGTTGTCTGGATGGGTTTCAAAAAAGGACCAGTGGATTAAAAAGAACAGAAAATGGCAGGTTTGATAAGAAAGATGTATAGACAGGGCATACAGAGCAAAGGCGTAGTCCAGATGTTGCCATGGCTCCCAGTGAGTCAATGTTGCACCACATGGTTAAACATTCAACCTAATGCAAGTCTCCTTTTATCTGCTCTTAAGTAAGTCCTGTCAAACCCGGTCAGACCTGTTCTCTGTAAAGCCCGACATTATTTAACTGTGGACTTTAAAACATACCTAAGATTAACCTAAAATATTTTTCCATGAGCACAGTGTGAATGCAGCGCTGTTAATGCTGGACATGCTGAGAATAAATGTAGCCAGTTAAACACAGATGATGCCTTCTGTAAGAAGTTCAGATGTCTTTACAAACCCAAATCAGCATTGAAGTAAATCCTCAACAAACATTTTTAAAGATGTGATGTGATGTGAGTTAGGAAACAAATATCATTCCAGTTGTGCTTTTTAACATCTGGTAAGGTACAACAGGTGAACATTAGCATTCAGGGATAATTCAAAATAGCACAAACTGACAAATTAAACCAAGTCTAAGCCACTTAGTATGTGAATGAAGCTACTCTGTTGAGTGTGTGATTCCTGGCTGTGTATAAATAATGTGAAAGTGCCATTTAAAAAGAAAACATGTCCTACATTGCTTAAGAGCTCCTCCACTGAGACATCCAGCTGATACTTTCTTCCAGAGTCTGCCACATCCTAGAAAGGAAATCAAAAATCAGAACCACCACTAGACCTTATAAAGCCATAAAAGTTGAAGGCTTGTTTCGATAGTGACATTCAGCTGACCTCTGCGTATCCCCTGTGGACCTTGTGCAGCATGAACAGCCTGTATGGTGAGCCGTAGTGGGTGTTGAGGTGGTGTTGGATCACCTGGGCTGCCCTCCGAGCAGGGTAATGACTGGGGTTCAGCTCGCCAGTCGCCATCACTTCCTCCTCAGCTTTCTCCACTGCTGATACTTTCTGCCGTTATTCCAGAGACGCGGTGAGAGGAGAAATAATGAAAATGAGAACAGAGGCAGCTGTAGTGATCAGGGATGGACTTCCACTTCCTGAAGGACTTTGACCCTTAGCTGTCAACAGGGTAGAGCATGTGTCTCAAAAGATAAAAGCCTTAGGCACAAGGAGAACATCCACTGACCCAAGTGGAAAGGAAATAAAATATGTACAAGTGAAGAGATGTGAAAGCTGGAAAATGAGACAATTGAATTCAAAAAGCGAGTCTGATTTTTGCCTGTAAGTAGAATGTTGACACTCCCTGTTTGGTGTTCAGAGGCAGCTGCTCTTCGCGCAAGTGGAAAGATTACTTCCCCCTTCTGTCGATGCCAGAGCTCACTGTAGACTGCCCCCTTTTAAAGGGACAGAGCTCCTACCTGGTTTTCCATACTCAGCTTTACAGGACATGCAGTGTAAGCCTTGAAAGTGTTTGAGTTAGCAGTTTAATGTTTTTGATTTGTATGTTGAAACATTTTTTATTATGCAAGTATTAGAAATAGAGGTGCACATCACGTTCGGCTTGTTTATGCTTTTCCTTTTGTTGTTAAAACGCAGCTTGATTTGGTGGCATAAGAGAAAATGAGTGCTGACTTGTTTATGCTTTTTCTTTTGTTGTTAAAACGCAGCTTTATTTGGTGGCATAAGAGAAAATGAGTGCAAAGTCTTCAACAGGCTCAGTAAGGCTCAGAATCAGTAGACGACTGCTACCTGCATTACTTTTTTAAAGCTGATAACACACCTACACAATGGCTGAGAGGTGACAGGTGGTCCCATTGTGTCACCCTGTTTCAAATAGCAGATCTTTTGCCTCATGTCTTGTAGGTTTGACTTCACTCATAAGAAGCAGAGTGGTGGCGCTGGGCAGTTCGGTAAAGTTATTGGGGTCCTTGAGCCGCTGGAGCCAGAGGATTACACAAAAGTGGAGTTTGCAGACCAAACTGTTGGAACCAATGTCCCGAAGCAGTTTGTGCCAGCCATTGAAAAGGTACATAGACACAGTCAGCTATATGCAGTAGTTGTGAAATGTTTTAAAGAGAACAGACGTTACTTGAACACAAAGTGAAACAGTGTATGTTTTAAAAGTCAGTTTCCTCAACTCTCATCTTTTGTTCCTCCCATCCTGCTGCAGGGCTTCAGGGATGCCTGTGAGAAGGGACCCCTTAGCGGCCACAAGATCTCAGGAATCAGATTTGTCTTGGAAGATGGAGCGAATCACATGGTCGACTCCAATGAGATCTCCTTCATCCGTGCAGGAGAGGGCGCTCTAAAGCAGGGCAAGTGTGCATTTAACATGAGATCCGACCTGCTGACTTCATTCTGGGTCTGCTTCATCTTTATTGTTGCTAGTGTATGTTAATGCTGCCTTCACTGTTCTCTCCACAGCTATGGAAAAGGCCAGCACAATCATCCTGGAGCCGGTTATGTCTGTGGAAGTTGTGGCGCCTCAGGAGTTTCAGGGTGCAGTCATTTCTGGCATAAACCGCCGGCATGGTGTTATTACAGGACAAGACGGGGCTGAGGGATACTTCACTCTATACGCTGATGTGGGTCAAGTTTATACTTTTTTTATATACCGAACATATCTACAACATGTGCCATGTCATGCTGCCATTGGTATTTGATTAATGTGAGCCTGTTTCTCCAAACAGGTTCCACTGAACGACATGTTTGGCTACGCCACAGAACTACGCTCCTGTACTGAGGTAAGTTCAGACTCAGACACCCTGAAACTCTGTATAGTCTATCGCAGTCCAGACTGTGTTGAGCAAGCATGTTAAGCTACTGAGGCATGATCACCAGACTATCACATGTTTTGTTGCAAATAGTCAACAGGGTCACAAAAACATGTGGAGAAGAAAAGACATGTTTTAGCTGCTAAAGTTTAGAGAATAATTAAACGTGAAGCTACCAGGAACCCATTATCCTCCAGTGCCACCATATTCCAGAACTCCAACCTCCCTGGAATATCCAGAAGTACAAGGTGTTCAGTGCTCAGAAACATGGCCACGGTAAGGAAGGCTGAAACACAACCACCTCTCAACACAGATTTTATGGACAGATGACATGAGAGTGAGTCTTGATGGACTGGATGGGCCTGTGGCTGGATCGCTAATGGACGCACGGCACCGCTTCAACTTAAACGCCAGCAAAGTGGAGGAGGGGTAATAATAAAGATGAGCTGGTTGAAGATGGACTTAAAATCAACTCCTAAGTCTACTGCCAGTTCCTAGAAGATGCTGTCTTCAAGTAGTGGTATAGCATGAAGTCTGCATCATTCAAGAGGCTGTGATTTCTATGCAGGACATTGCTCCATCACATGCATTCAAGTATGCCACTGCTTGGCTAGCCAGTAAAGGCCTCAAAGATGACAGAATAATGGCCTGGCCCCCTTCCTCACGTGAACTTGTGAGCCCTTCTTAAACATGAGATTTACAGTGAGGGAAGACAATACACCTCTTTGAATAGCATTTGGGAGGCTGTGGTTGCTGCTGCAGCAAAAGTTGATCGTCAACAGATCAAGAAAATGACGAGCTCCATGGATGGAAGGCTCATGGCAGCTATATTGGTCACTGAATATTTTTGAAATGTGTTTGCTGATTTTGAGTTGAGGTGGGAAAATTTAGTTTTTCTTTTAGGTGCCTAATAATTCTGCACACTACTACAGTATATTCCACTGAGAAAAGCAGAACCTCACTTTTCCCTTGTTAAACATTCAGATCTGAGGTGTATTAACATTTTGGATTGACTGAGAGCACTGTATTTGTTCAAAAGTAAAATGAATCCTCAATACAACTGGCCTAATGATTGTGCATGCAGTGCATGTAGCCTGAGAGGAGAAACTCAGGCCATTAAAATCAACAAATCACTTTCTGCTGCTCAGAAGTCCAGTCAGAGGACACTGTTCAGAGATTTGTTTTATAAGAAGAACCAAACTAAAAGTGGAAAACTGAGATTACAAAACATGAAAATCACACCCCTACAGAGCAGTTGCAAAATGTAACACTGTCTCCTATCATTGTTTATTCAGGGGAAAGGAGAGTACACCATGGAGTACAGCAGATATCAGCCCTGCCTGCCAGCTACACAGGAAGAGCTCATCCATAAATACTTGGAGGCCACAGGGCAGCTGCCTGCAAAGAAGAAGTGGAAAAACTGAAAACTGTTTACACAACTGTATACTCACCACCAGATCTCCTTTGGCAACTTTTCTGCCCGTCTCACCCTTCCAAATAATTGACCCCTGTGGAAAAACATACTATATGTATTATCTTGGTTTTAGACCTCTACTCTCTGCAGCGAGTGCTTTCAAAAGATGAGTGGCTACAGTGAAAACTTCAAGCGAGCTCAGGGTTTTGACTTGAGCTTTGTTACTATGTACAGAAAGATCTTGATGTGATAATGATGGCAACAATGGTATATGTTCTTGTTTTAAAGTGTAGTTCTTTTTCTGTGCAGATAATTTATCTGCCAACAGAGTCTTACAAACAGTTGATTAGAAGAAAACCCTCATATCTTGCACAGCACCACCACTCTGCAGGGTTACACTTGAGGCAGATGTTTCACATGTACAATGAAACTGGTTAGTTACAGACCGCATTAGAAAGCCAAAGCCAGCCAAGAAGAAGCATGACAAAGCACCATCAGAGCTAGTTCCTTCTCACCTGTGCTGAGAGCTCTGTGTTATTTGCCACCTGAAGTACGCTGTTGGGATGAGCTGGCATCTCTGCTGATGCACCTTCAGGTCTGACAGTCGTACCGGGGCTCCCAGCTGGCATGTCTGCTGATGCACCTTCAGGTCTGACAGTCGTACCGGGGCTCCCAGTTACCCCCGTTAACACGGCCAGGACGGCGATGATCATCAAACCCATTACTCTATGCTGTAAAACACACTTCTGTGAGAGAGCACAGGCAGAGAAACAACCCCCTCACCAGTGTGGGGCTTATGTAACACAAGGAGGAGGGGAAGCAGCGAAAAGAGACTGTCCATATCCTGCTGTCTTCCTGCCATGGTCTGTTTATTATTTTTCCCTCCTAACTAAACAAGCCTCTCCACTGTATCTGGCTCTGCCCTTCATTTGTTCTCATGCACTCACTCACTTAAAGTTGTCAGCCACTAAATGTTTCCACACCCTCACAAGTAGAAATTCATTTAGGAACAGTTATCCCATTAGAGCTGCTGCTCGTGGAGCAGGTGTGTGATCGGTATGGAGGCCTGAAGGGGTTGCAGCCTCGTCTGGGCCCCAATGTGTTAGACCAAATGCAGAGGGACCAAAACTTTCAGTGAGCAAAAGTAACCATGTCTTGTCAATTTGGGACAGTTAAAAAGACAAAACCTCCACAGTTTGATGATTTCAGATTATCATACATCAACAACCACAGGAAATACTGATTCTGATGTGACCTGATCTACTATGCTCTGGCTTTTTGTTTCCCTATAAAATGACTTTGGCTGGTTCCTGTTTAAATCGCTGTTAGGACTGCAGCTAATACATCTTTTTATTACAGATTAATGATCATGTTTATTTTCACATTCAGTCATTATTCCTCAGAGTCTAAGGATACGCATTCAAACATTTTGTCTTGCCTGTGATAGGCTTGGGCCTCCCTCAGCACATCAGGCGAGGGCCTGGGGGTGACGTCAGAGAACGAAGGCTCGTAACAGAATGCTGGACAGGGATCCATTAGTTAGACAACAAACATCTTTAGGGCAACGATGCCTGGTTCTGTGTGGACACTTCTCAATCTGCAAGATATGAATCAAGACAAAACCAGCTGCAGCCCCAGGTTCATATTGAAAGTTATTACCCAGTTCTTTCAACCAGGCATCTTCCACCTCCAGTACTGCGCTCAGGCAGCCCGGAAGATGGAAAAAAGCCCCGAACCTAATAGCCTATACAGTTTAATCACTTGGTTGGGCTAGCCCCATCCTACACAGGCAACGTCAAACCGTGACGTCACCTGATATGCCAGCTTGGCAGCTGACCAGAGCAGTAGTCAAAACATGGAGAAAATTAAAGTGTGTGGCTGTTGATTAGTGGTGTGTATCTAAAAACATACAGGACATTCAGGGACATGTCCGAACAGTAAGCCTTGGAAGATATTATGACTAAGATTACGGCTGAACATATCATGCTACTAGCAATATTCATCCTGTCTGCAGACTCTGCAATCTAGTTGACCTTGGCCTAGATGCAGCCTGCAGAACTCATGACAATGAACTAAGCATTTACCAGCCTGAGCATAGACAGCCTGTCTCCACTAAACATTTGCTAATACAACAGATGTCTAACAAATATCTATCTGACTAAGAAATTACCTAACAATATGAAGTAGCCACAAAGAGTTTGCTGTAATGAGGAGAACAGTTTTACCTTCTTATAAAGAGCATTTTTTCTGTCTTGGAGCTGGCCTGTTCCTCTGAAAGAAAACCTTCCAAACCCGACCACCCACTAATCATCAAAGGTCTTTAGGAGAGACTAACCCTCTGGAAATGTTCCATCCAAATGTGGCTTCTCCTCATTCAATATATATTATTTTCCCCAAGTTAACCTCTAATGTCCTGCAGTATGCTGATGTTGGTTTTTAAGAATTTAAAGGATTCAAGCATCACAATAATGACACATCTTGATTTGACAGTTTGAAGGCTGACTTTCCATCTGGATATTTTATATCAAAATATAGCAATACATTTAGCAATTAAAGATTTTATCTACCAGCCCCGGTTATTACAAATACTTTAGGTGCTACTACTAACCCACCTACTACTACTCTGTAACTTTATTACACCTATTTCTCAGGAGCCAGCAGGACACTAACCAGCTACTGTATACAGTTATTATGAACGACTACATCTGAAATGCTGCTAATGCTCATTTCATTACTCCTTATACTGCCTATTGATATTGAAGACCTCTCAGTCTTAGATGATATTTTTATTAGCTAAAACCTTTTAGAGAGCTTTACTGTCTGCTCTGTGGTGAACTCACTTTGATGTCCTCTCTGCAGAGTTTCTGGTTCATAATCAAAAGTTGTGGGCTGCTGGGAGGAGACAATGTCCACATTTTCTTGCCACAAACAGGTTGCTGTTCACTGTTCTGTCAGATTCCAGTCAGTTATTTGTTTCAGTTATTCCTTCCTCATTTTTAATGAGGAAGGAATGCAGTTGCTACTTTAGCTGTTTCCATCTTTGCCAGTGGCGTTTACCTTTTTGTCATATGATAGTAAAACTGAATAGGCCTGTTTGGTTGGATGAAACAGTCCTGAGAAGATCTCAGTGGTGGAACTATTGGTGTGTAGAGGCTTCAACAAATTATGAAAATAGATTCTGGGGACAAAATTGTAGGTTTAGTCTGAATGAACTAGTAATTAGCTAGGCTAATGGTTAAGGCGCAGGGCTCTCGGTGAAAGGATACAAAATGACACAAAGACACAAAAGATCCCTTCACCTCATGTCTTCTCTCTTTCTTTATCTTTCTCTCACATGCATACAAATGTTGTCCTCAACTCACCATAATAAATAATAAATTTGTATTTTGCATTAACTGGGTGCCTGAGGTGGTGCAGTTGGACAAGAGCAGCTGGTAGGAAGAGTCACCCTCCCATCTCATGTTCCCATCAGTTTACAGCTGAATAAATGTGTAGCCTATTTAAATGAATGTAGCGAACAGTAGGATTCCAGCCCCTTAGTATTTATTAAAGAAATCCAAGTCTGCTAAACAAATAAATGAATGAACCTGTTGATCTTCTCTTCACTCCAGTTCAGGCTCTTTACCTGCTGCTTGGTTCTACTCTTTATTTACCCACTGCCATGATGAATCTTAGTATCAAACCTCCATTGATGATGACTTTTTATTGTCATCACACACAAGCTTAACTCTAAGTTAACTGAACTTGGGCAGTGGAAAGATGGTTTTCATGATGTTTTAAAACACCGGAGAACTGTGGATTTATGTTGTAACCATTATAACAGGTTTGTTGTTGCTGACAGAGGCTCTTCAGAAGTAAAAGCAAGAGCGAGATTCCATTAAATATATTAATCAAAAATGAAGTGTTTTTTTTTGACACAACTTGGAATAGATGGGGACAGAATATTAGAAACACTTAGCAGTACTATCACTAACTACAGTATGCCCTTGATCTTAAAACATAGGTGAATTACCACATCTACTGTATGACAGTGTCAAGAAGCTGAGCATTACAGGTTGATCTTGTTGACAGTGGTATTGGATTGCAGGTGTATCTAATAAAGTAGCAACTGAGTGTATAAGTAAGTGTTAAATTACATTTAAGACACAGAACACGACTCAGTCAACTTGCTCTTTTTTCTCTTCAACTGAGGCAGCTGTTGGAAAACCAGTGAATTTTGATCATGTCTATTTATACAACTCTGAACTTGATGTGGCTGTCTTTTATATTCATCATTATTTCCCATCTGCACATCCCGAGGCAGGTTATCAATAAGCTCATAGAGGGTAAAGATGCTAAAGCAGATTTCATCGTAGGCTGTTTCAGTGCCACACTCGAACAGGCAGGCGAAGGCTACAGCAGGTGGTGCTCCAGGTGAGGGTGGCAGTTCCAAGTAGGTCAGGTCAGAATAGGCACTGGGGCCCTCGTAGATCACCCAGGGGCCATGCCAGCTATCTGGATCACGGGGAAACAGGCTGAGGAACACGCCCAGATCCTTGCGTGCAGTCGTCCATGTTGGGTGGGAGTATAGTACCCAGGTGGGGGTGAGGAAATCTGGAGGGGCCCTATGATTGGGTGACAAAGAGCTGGTGGAAACAGAAGTGGTGATATCAGGAGAGGGAGAGATGCTGTGATTTGAGTAGGTCATGTAGGATGTCCAGTGTCTAGAGTGACACATTGGCTGGTGTAAGTGATGATTAAGGCTTTGAAATAGATGCAATGGCGCAGGAAATCCAACAATACTACCATGACAACCATTCCGAGGCTCCACCAGCCGCTGCACCAGCTGTCCCTCCTGAAACACTGCTCCATCATCCAGGCTGAGGGCCTGCACCCTGTAGCCGAGTGTGCTGCGTGCATTGCAGTACAACACATTAGTCCCATCCTCTTCATCCACAGAGACCATCTGACACTCCACGCTCTCTGGGCCTGGCACCGCCTCCCCAAAATGCCAGGTTCTGCCATGGGTGTCACTGTGAAAGCAGAAGGCACGGGGAGTGGTCTGGCAGAGCTGCCCAAAACATTCTTTGCACTCGATGTGGTAAGCGTAGGCAGGAATGAGCAGGCGACCCGACTTCAACTGGATGCCATGGCCAGGGCCGACAGCAAAAGTGGCCCATTCTGCAAGGAAGGAAGAAAATCACATGATACACATGAGTGGCATTGATAAACCACATAGATCTGCACTGACTTAAGGAATGAATGACACTTAAATCACATTTATTCAAGTCAGCCTAGAAAATCACATGTCCACATGTACAGTGGTGAATGACAGAGGATAAAATCCATAATCCTCTGTCTATGCAAAGATGCAGTCTTAGGTTTAGCCGAAAATTAAAAACAGTCCAAATTTGTTTACTTTTCTTTTCTTTAATTGTTTTTGCTAGACAGTATATTTTGAAGTCCACCTTGACAACGAAGTCCCTTCCCTTTATGAATGTCTTTCCTCTGACCTTTAATAGTGTCTCCTATGACCCTGTTGGTAAGGTCAGTGACAGGACTCCATGTGTCCCCATAGTCAGTGCTGCAGATGTAGCAGAGTCGAGTTACATTCTTTCCTGTCACCAGCTGATGGGACTCTGAGGTGTGTCCCAGCACAGCGATAAAGAACAGGAAGAGAGTGCCGGTGAATTCATCATACACTGGGCACGGGTTCATGGACCTGTGGCCTGGCAGGAAAGCAGTTCCCAGGACACGCATATCCTCCCACTGGAGCAGCAGAGAGAAAGGAGGATATAGTAGAACAGATTCAGTGAAATGCTTGAAATATAATGTAAGATAAGAAAAAGACAATAAACAAGACTGGGCAATAAAAAAGTCTAGGATTTAACTCAAAGGGGTGATTCACAAATTCAAATTGTAAAACATAATTTCTCACCCATCTCTTTCTATGCAAAATGTTTTGATTTTGACTAAATAACTCAGGAGTCCCCTTATTGTTTTTCTGATCCTTCATCAGCATTTAACTATCTGAAGATGAAGAACAAACCATAGATTTGGTTGTATTGGCCATGTTTTATCAATATATTTTCTCATACATGTATATTCTCCCATCCATGTACTGTATAATTAGGGTGAACTCTCCTTTAATCTCAGAGGAAATGTAGAAAATGTGGCATTGCTGCAGCAGAAATGCCGCATTGCTTATGCATTGTTTTCCCTATGTAAGCTTTCTGATCTGATTAAACTCAATTTTTGAGTTATAGTTTTTACAGACAGGCCCTCAATCTACAGGACACAGTAACCAACACTGACCTCCACATAGTTCCTGTAGAAAGCGCCTTTCCTCATCACCAGCAGGTGAGCCTGGGAGTCAGATGGGCTGAGTCTCTCCTCACAGAAAGCCAGGAAGGATCTGCAGCGGGACAGGTAGAGAAGTGCCGGGACTCGGTATGTCACTCCGTTTGGCTCTTTGTGGAAAAGCATCGACCTCGCAGGGAAGTAGGGCAGCCTCATACTTTCAGGTGTATGAATATTTCACAATAACTCTTCTGTGAAGATAAATCTGAACCAGCTTTATTAGAAAGTATGTTAAGAGATAAGGCCAGTCACTTTTTATATTAACAGTATTTTCAACAGTCCCCATACAAAGGCAAATACCAACAGTGATTAATATCTGTCAGCCCTGGATTATCTTATTTGTCTGTGGCAAAGACCTCCACTGATGTTCAGAAACAATTAACCCTGTAAAGTGTGACACATCAAAAAATAGCCAGAACATTCTATTTTTTTTGGAGCTGAGATGTTTATTAAACCTTTTAACAAAATACAAAAGAATATTCAAGATTCAAGATTTTTATTTGCCATTAATGCATAGACAGACAGTCCAGGCATATAGGAATAAATGTGTCATATTATTTCTGTCATCTGTGAAACACACCACTGCATTTAGAGACATATTTCCTTGTTGTGAAACACAAGACCCTGATATTTGTTAAGAATATCCAGAGATCTTATGCATGGGCCCTTGACACTTGCTTACTTCAGACACTGTAAAAGGCTTTGGCTGTTCTGAGCCTTTGAGGCAAATTTAAAAAAATATATATGAGGGTCTGGTGTTTCATAAAGAGAAAACATGTCACCCAGTGCAGTGATGTGTTTTACTGATGTGGTTCATTTTTGAACATCACTGGAAGTCTATGGCACAGACAAATAAGCTAATCCAGGGCTGACATATTGACAGACATTTAACTGTGAGTAGAGGAAAATTATTGTCACAGGTCAGACATCACAACACTAAGAAGTTTGTTTCAAAGCATAAGATAATATATCCCCTCTCGTGTCATTGAGGAGGAGTTGTACAGCGGACAAAAATCTGTTTTTGAATAAACTACAAGCTGTCAAACAAGCTACTGACAAATGCTCACTCATGTTTTACCAGCCTCAGCATCACAATTCATCAGCACACGTTCATCTGGCTCATATCAGGAAATTGTAGCTAATACACAAAAGAAGGCAAATGGCTACTTACACTCAAAATGCTCGGTGAGACCTGCTGCTGCTTTGTGAGGATGTACAGTGTGTGTCAGGACTTGAATGTCGGGTTGACAGTGTAGCCTGTGTGTGTAGTTTGTTTGTGTGTGTTTTTGTTTCAGCGTCTGAATGCTATGGGCTCTCCACTCTGTTCCCTATTCATTATGGCAGTATGGCACGCTGTTCACTGACCCAGAAATGAACCGCACTCATCAGATCTTGCTTTGAGCAATCAGCGGAGAGCAGTCATTGTGGAAATGAAGACTGGGTGGGAGACATGCTGGGCAATGATGCGATGATTTCCCTTCCCTGTGGCCTCTCTCTTTTCATTTGCTGCAGAATGTGCAGGAACCTATGTTACTAATAAACATTGTTGCTTTCAGTGTAAAACACACCACTGGCTTGTATCTCATACTCGATCTGTTCATATTCTGTTAATTATGAATTATATTGTATAAGACTGCATTCTGATAAGGCAAATGATTTTTCACAACCTGGGAACCCCAAAATTTTTCTGAATTATAACTGGCTGGATTATCATTTCTCTTTATAGTAAGTAAAGTATTTATTAACAATGAATAAAGCCATAAATTGCAGCATATGAATGCTTTATAAAAGGTCCTCATCAAATAGCGGTGTCTATTTTATGAAGCTCATTTAGAGGTCACTAATATACACAGTAGCCTATATTTTTCTGTATTTTGAATTCTAACGGCTTATTGTACAGACAAAACCTATGTGAATGTAAAATGTGCCTTCCGGGCAGATCTCTACTCCAATTTTGTACAAAAAAAGGCAATACCTTTTATCAGATACTTTAGGCTATACACATTACAGTATTGAATGGGTTATATGAAAGTTGTGCTAAAAATGAGCCAAAAATTCAATTTAAGGCTGCCTATGAATACCGCCTGACAGGCCTAACTCAGGGCAAAGCACGGTGGCGCACTTTAGTGATGTGCAAATGAAGCAATGAACCAGTACTGAACCACTTCATCAATTGTCTCGAAAATGGGTTCATTCATTCAAAGCCTCGTGGGATGGTGATAAAAAGATTTTTAGTGAAGCAGCGGTTCAAAGGAAATGCTGCTTCGAGTTTGAAGCTTGTATCGGATCATCAGTGTCCGGCGGCCATAGCTGGCGCACTTGTGACGTCATCAATCAGCGACTCAACCCACATGTCATCCTACAGAGTTGTTGACGCTACACACAAAGGTAGTGTAATTGTCCGATTGAGAAGTTACTAGTAATGTCACAGCGCTGTTATACATCATTTTTATTCTGCACATTAACAAAACGTGTTTGTTATCGCGTTCAAGCCACCAGGGTAATATGGAGTTGCATATTAGCTTTTATGCTAACAAGTTAACAGAAATAGGATAAGACTGTTTGGTTTGATCTGGTTTGACACAACGTATTTTGTGTTTCCAGCAACTTCTCAATTCAGTCACATTGAAGTACATACTTTACTTGGACAAACTTTGCCCTCGGTTTCGGAAAGTCGGTTTTACTCAATGTTAAATAAAAGTGCAGGCATATTAGCATCAAAATATATACTTGGAAGTACCAAAAGTAAAATGAAGCTACTCTATAACAATATCGGCCCATTTCAGAATAATGTGTAGTGGCCTATATTATAAGATTAAATTTTATGAGGGTGGTGCTAATTTAAATTCTTTTATATACTGCTGGGTACCTTAGCGTATGAATTTTAGAGAGCCCTTCTTGAATTGTATATAGTCTGCGTTCATTCATTAAAATAGTCTAGTTAAATTACAGTTTGCTGTTCAAAAAAGATCACAATTTATTTAATGAAATGGCAGTCTAGATTTATTTGTTAGAACAAATAGTGGCTGAATACCATTTGAGGTTTTTGTTTGTTTGCTTTTCCTGTAGTAGGCTCATAACTTTGGCATCCAATGTTGCCATCAGTGTTGTCACAGGAACACCATAAGCTCATGCGTATCTTCTCCTGGTTAACTCACATTTCTTAGGGTCGGGCAGTCATGGCCAGGTATTGGTCTGAGGGCCACTCCACATCCATCCTGTGTGTTGGAGCTGCACCAGGTCCCGAGGGTCTCCTTGCTTCAGGCTCTGAGGGTGGACAGGTTACAGTTTGGAACCAAGAAGGAACCATCCTAGGCAGACTCACCCTCCCTGGTGAAGAGGACAGCACCAGTGTTGTGTTTTCACCTGCAGCTCCGAGCCAGTTGTATGTGTCGCATGGAAACACGGTGAGCGTACTTGACCCCAGGAACCTGAAGGGCCACGTGGAGGAGTTTCAGGGTGCAGGGGAAGAGGAGGTCAATGCTTTGGCAGTGAACGAGATGGGATCGGCCCTGGCGGTGGCTGATGATTCTGGAGCAGTGCGGGTACTGGAGCTTCCCGGGGGAAAAGTATGCAGGACTCTTCGCAGACACACCAATATCTGCTCCTCTGTAGCTTTCCGGCCTCACAGGCCCAATAACCTGGTGTCTGCTGGACTGGATATGCAGGTGAGGGAGAAGAGATCTATTTTTCAGTTCTTTGTATTTCATGTCATTCACTTTTGTACCAAGACTGTATTTGATATCATTTCTCTCTTAGTTAGCTTTACCTTGTGCCACTTCAGGTGATGCTGTGGGGTCTGCAAAAGACTCGCCCGCTTTGGACACTGAACCTCCAGGATGTAGCAGAGGAAGAAGATGACTATCAGCAGCGTCCAGGTCAGCTTTTCAACCCTCCACTGGTTCACTGTGTTTCTGTAGCGAGCTGTGGAAACATTCTGGGCTGTGCAGCAGAGGATGGGCGGGTGCATTTGATGCGAATTGGCAGCGGCTCTAAACTGGAACAGCAGGGATCAGTCAAAGCCCACAGTCAGGGAGCATCACAAGCCCACTTTGTTAGTTTCTTTTCCCACCCATACTGGCTTGTCACTGGTGGGAATGATGGCCAGGTTGCCCTGTGGGACCTCAGTAAGCACCCAGTAGTGACTCCAGAGGGAAAGGTCAAAACTAGAGTGACAGGACCCCAGAGCAGGAAGGGTAAGAGCAAGACAAAGAGGAAAGAACAACCCCAGCATAAAGCAAAGACTCTACCAAAGGTTGAAGCAGAGAAAGAAGAAGCTGAAGTGGAGGACAAAGTGGCAGTGGCAGGTGTGGAGGAGGTAACAGAGGAGAAATCTGGGCCCAGACTGAGCATTAGTCATGGGGACAAGGTGAACTGGCTGTGCCCTGCAGAGTTGAAAGGGGAGCCCAGTGTGGTGGTAGCAGATCAGAGCTGCAGACTGACTGTCTACCCTCTGTCTCAACTATAGTCACACACTTTACAACAAGCCTGTAATTGTTTGCCTTATTAGTTTGTGTGTTTTCAAAAATCTTCAGAGAGTACAGTGTCCCCCCCCCCGATAAAACTAACTCCTAAATTTGCAAAATGTTAGTTGACATTCAACCTAATCAGTCGGTCACCTCCTGCAAGTAAGGAGACTTGTCCATGTTAGATATTTGGAAAAGCAGAACATTAAAGAACTTTTAAAAGCATATTTTGATGGCAGTCACCCTAATAAAGATCCAGTTAGCCTACCAATAAACTGAAACAGTCCAATAACACCGACAACTACTGTGATAATGGAAACACGCAGTTTGCAGCAGCCCTCATTCATCACACTGAAAATGTGCTGTTTTAACCCAAATTTCTCAAACAGTTCTATAAATATAAATGAAACAAAAAAAAAAAGAATAAAGCAGACTTTGTGGCCACTATATTAATACAACTTTGAAAATATATAAAGCATTTGTAAATGAAACTTATGATCTTTGGAGTTTCAGAGACTCCTAGTGTTCAGATGCTGTGTGGGTGTGGCCCCTGGATGTCTGATCTAAATTGTGCTTGGCTTCTTATTGTGATGTTAGGATCCTGCACTCCTTTCTTTAAGCCTGAACTGTGTGCAGAAACCAAATACAACCAGTGTTCCAGGCAGCAATGAACAGTACAAAACCAGTACTGTAAGGGAAGAGCTTACTGCAATTTGTCTGAGGTTTCACACATTATTCAACAAACTACATATTTCATTGTTTTTCAGTTCTCGTAGTGGAAACTTTACTCACTGGGTGTGGCTCATTTGGAGTTTGTGTGTGTGGTTTTACAAAAATAAATATATTTTATTGTATGACACTGGATTTATTATACAACAGAATAAACAACATGCACATTTGTGGACTGCAAAACTACCACAGAAGCTTGCATTTCATATTTCACTGAGTCTGTGGTACTTTTATGGAGGATTAAAAAAAAAAGGTCAAAGCTGTTCTGACATTTGAAAACAGTTTACAACAGAGATTGCAGCCACATAGTCACATGACCTCATCCTAGGGAACAGTGGTACTATTTGAACTCACACCTAGCCTTTATATGTTAATGATCAAATTCTGTTTGCTGCATATCAATCATTTACACCACCACACTGTTTGGACTTCAACTGCACCATCAAGCATGGAAAACCTTATATGGCCCATATTTAGAGAAGCCAGGTGACTATATACACAACTTTGTTCTTTATGACAACAAACTCATACATTCACAGCAAATGCTTTGTATTCACACTGTTCTTCCTTCTACAAACAAAGAAAACACTTCTATAAGAAAACCACAAAAAACAAGGCACAAGGCTGGCTGTCGGAGTCGCTGTCTTGCATCTGCAGCCTACAGGTTAGACTAGCTGAGACACTTAAAATAAACATGGTGAAAGTCACAATGCTTTATATTGCTATTATAAACAACAAATGTAGTTTCCCAAAATTTTCAAACTATATATTTTCTAATTAAGCCAAATAAAGTGGTTTACGGTGGATGTTCACAGTACGATTTTACACTGAATAAGCACATGACCATTTCTCAGCATTGACAAAACAGCTATATTATTTTCCATTACATTACTTTCAGTCTTTCTTCACTGTATCTGTAAAGGTCTTCCACCTTTAATGTCACTTAATGGTTTCCATTGACAGTCACCACAGATAGGATCATGCTTGACTGGGTACTTATGTCAAATCGTCCCTCCTCTGAGATGCAGTTTTCATCCCTCTGATTACTGAGGTGACAGCGGACGTTGAGGTGTTCTAGTCTGCAGTCTGTACCTTTGAGGCAAAGTCTGCCCTGAGATGTCGAGTCTCTGATTTCACAGTTTAGCCAGGGTCTTCTCTAGGCTGTCAAGGTCTGCATCCCCCTCTTCACCCTTGCTGCCACGGGCGCTGCACTCCAGGAACTCCACCTTCATAGGCAGCTGACTGAACTCAAAGTCCTTGCCTTTCTTCCCCAGATAGACACTGCCACCCACAGAGCCATCCTGAGAGCTGAGGACTGCTGAGCGAGTCACTCGCAAGGTGTTCCTGTGAGGAAAATGAAACACTGTGGAGGCATCTTCATGTGCATGTTGTCTAATAAATCTATAGGGTTACTGTTAATGCCACAGTTTTACAGAGATCTGTTTTTAGTCACAAGTATGACTCAAACTGAAAGGAAAACAGTTCAAAATTTCTGTTATGGTTCTGCAGGAGCTTGTCAAGTCTTAGAAAATAACATCACTGGTCTCACCAGATCAAACTTTTTAGGTGAAAGCCACTGACTGTATATAAGAACTGGACAAACCCATGGTGACGTCACCCACTGGTTTTCTGGAGAGTGGTTTTGAAGCTCAAGTCTGGCTGATGCCATATTGATAGTGCTTCACTCTACCTGCTATGTCTAATCCAAAAATTGACAAAGAGGCAGAGCATGAGTGGCGCTGAGGTGGGCAGAATGCAGCTAGCCACCAGTGGTGGGATGCTCCCGCCTCTCACTCAAAGCGGCTATGCCCTTAACTAATGCATAACTTTTAGCCTGAGTATAATTTAAACAGGCCAGTTATAAAACTATTCACCCCCTGTAAAGTTGTCATGGAAGGGGAAATTAGTTATAGAGACTAAAACTGTCTTTGTACCAGGTTGTAAACATGTTTATATCTGCTGTAAAGCTGGGCATTTTAACATGGGAGTCCATCGGGACTGACACTCTTTTGGAGCCCCAAGTGGCCATTCGAGGAACTGCAGGTTTTGGTATGTCTGAACTGGCTTCATTTCTCAGCCTCTGGTTGCCACTTGGTGAAAACCTGTTACAAACTCGGTGTGTAATGTTTGAGAGATGTGGGTATTAACAAAAGATGCTATTGAACTGCAATATGGGAAGTTTAAGATCCAGGTGTTTAAGACTTCACTCATTCTAGAGATTTAAAATCCAGATATCTTGGCCTCTGCTGCTTTGATTTTTTCTTATATTTTAATGTCTCACACGTCAAGAAAAAAACAACAATAACATTACAACTGAACAGTCCCACCCAATATGACGATGTATTCCTGATTTTATAGCTCACTGGTGTGTACTTAGGACACTTCTGGAGAGTGTCCTGCAGTAATAACTCAGATGGACTACCAACACAATGGTAACAGTCAAGCAATCACAAAATTACTACTATAGTGAAACTTAAATAAAATATCATGAAAATGAACACTGCACCAAGTAATATAAATCATAACTGTGATGGTGTTTTAGAGGATATTCCTTACCTAATAAGTAATTAACAGAACCAATACTTACAGTTCCTTTTCCAGTTGCTGCTGAATCAGTTTAGCCGATTTTGCCATGGTGATATCTGTAAAAATGAATAGATCAATAACTGCGCTGCACAACAACTATGCGGATTTAGGTGAAGGATGAGATGACCAAGCTTTTGCACCTTGTTTGTTACATGCCACCAGCAGAGTGGGGGCATTTCTGGAGATCACAGTGTCCGTCAACAAGACGTACAGGAACTCTGCCACGTCTCTCACTTCCTTCTGGAAGATAGCACTGTCCACCACAAACACAATCGCTCTGGAGAGATGGGTGACAAGATAAAAATACACATTAGTCAGGTCGCTGGTAACTTTACTTCACTAAGCCGCAGAAAGTAAGGTGTTTCAGACCGGTCGTCCTGTTCTCACCTGGCTGCAGACTTGAACTTCTCCAGGTACTGAGGGCGAAGGCTGTCATGTCCTGGCAGGTCGATGAGAGTCCAGGTGCTGCCCTGGTAACAGGAGAGAGAGAGAGGGGACGACTAAACTATGTTCATCATGACAGGATGAGAGCTGATCATAATGATGCCCAACTTACCCTGTCATTTTTGGCTTTGTAAGGAGCACTACTGTCAGTGATGGAGGTCTGCGTCCGCTTGAACTTTCCTGACAGCAGCTGCCAAAATATGAAATGCATTTGATCACTTAGGAGGTTAGTTAACCATTCATCATACCAGCCGAGCATCCTGTGACAGACAATGTGCCTGTCGCTAGCATGTTTTAGCTACATCGACTCACCCGGATGAAAAGAAGCGTTTTCCCAGAGTCGCACAGTCCAACCAGCAGCACAGCACTTCTAACAGTTTTGCTGGTGAGAAAGTACTTCAGAAAAACTGAAAAGGCAAAGTGAAGACGGATGTCATTGACTTATTCTCAACGTATCAAACACACTTTGTCCATTAACCAGAAATACGCACTGAATTTGAATGACTTGATACTAACAGCTGTGCACGTTTTCTTTAGCATAGCAGTTATCTTCCTAGCTTAACGCCGAATACTCCGCTGTCAATGCCAACTAAGATAAACGCTATAGGCCTAGCCTAGCCTGCTAAGCTAACGTTAGCATGCTAACTTTAACGATAACTTCTCACCACAGGTGATGACAACAGCCGCCAAAGCGACGATAAGTCCGATCAGAAGAACTGGGTCTTGGTCTTCTACTTGCTGACGAAATGATTCAAATGGGGTTTCTGCCATTTTCATGTTTGCTTTTCCTCCCATGTTGCCTCCAGAGCTGTCTGCCTTCATCTACACGTTAACGCCACTCGAAGAATGGGACACGTCTCCTCTCTCCTAAAGCCTGCACGGAGGGTCAGCAGGGGGCGCTGCAGACCACACCATGTCCACTTCATTCCCACTGAGGTTCCCCCGCAGAACCACACTTTTATTCCCCTCCTTTTCGTCAGCATGGAAGCTTTTGCCTGTAAAAAACATTAAATCTTAATGATGGCAACATAAAATACTCACGGTAAGCAAAATTATGAAATAGACCTCATATCAATCAAAACTATGGTAGGCTACGATATACTAGGCTAAGAAATCAAAAATCAAGTTTGCCTATATAGTAATCAATAGTCAATAGTCTATTTGAACCTAGCCCCAGCTTGTGACTCTAATGTATGCAGTAACTGGATGTATGTATGAAATACACCAGGGTCACAAGCTATTTTGAACCGAGTCAAAATTGTGTGATAGTAGAAAGCAAATATTACTTAACAAGTCTTGTTTTAAAATATGTCAAACTGTTTACCTACGCACTTGAAATTAGGCTATAATTTTCTAATTTGAGTACCCTTTTAACTTTTAAAACTCTGGTTGGCTACTTCATCTGTTTCGGTGTTTTGAGAGGTTTATAGACAATATATTTATGTTTAGACAAAGAAACTCGTTGGATTCAGTTTTGGATGACCCACATTTCATTAAAATGATTAAATGTAGCCTACTGCCATTGCATAATCCTTTATTGTATGGATTGGCAATCGACTCCCAGAGTTTTAGTTTCCAAAAGGAAAATTAACCAGATAATTTGACAAGATGATGGTAAAGAACAGAGATCACATAAGAATATTGTAACACGTCGTTCATACCCTTGCTCATTTTGGGCCTATCGTCAGTCATTGGATGACAAAATGTAATAATTGGCGAATTCGTTGTCTCGTTTACATTGTATTCCCAATAGCAATGATACACGAATGTTAGTGGTTTTCGATTAGGACCTGGTGCGCTTTTACGCACTCCGTTTCCAGTCCTCACACTCGCGCTTTTTACGCACACTGGATATTTGACTCCTCGGTCCTCGGCACGATGGCAAACGTCAGGAACACGTATAATTCTATAGGAAGAGGTTGTTTGCCATTCATTCTGGGCTCTTGAGAGAGCTAGTTTGTTTCTCTTCGGGAAGACGCAATGACCAACTCGTTAACAGTTTCAGTGGGGTTTGCTTAGGCTTTCTTTCCTCCTTTCATCCCACACAGATCTGTCAAAAGGGATTTATAACCTGGGGATTTGCTTGAAAATCGCCTGTATCTGCGGATACCTCTATCGTAACGAGATGATGTCTTTATCTTTTGTCTGCGCGCTGTGCATGTGGATAAGTTTAGTTTGTCCTTCGCTAGGAACAGGGTTTATGTATCACTTTCCAGGCATTACTATGCAGCGGCAGCGCGTCAAATCGGAACAGAGCGGCATCATGGGATCGCCAGGTAGCGGGTCCCGCACTCAACTCAGGTGAGGAAACACTTGGGAGATGTATAGTGACAAATTACACACAAATGCAAAATCTGCATTTTGAGCAGTAAAATTTACTGGTGGATATTAAAGCTCATTTTCGGATGTCGATTAGAATCCAAAACCGCCCAGTTTGCTTTTTTTTCTTTTTTTTTTACTTTGTGTGTGATCCCTTCTAATGCAGCTCTGGTCCTACTGTATGATTTGTATAACATATTTTTTATTCTGTATTTAAGGAACTGGTGTCAGTACACTGTTTCCAAAACTGTGTCCTGTAAAGTGCACAATGGGACAGAAACCGCAGTGCAGAGAATGTTTCAGAGCTGCCGATGGCCTGGACCCTGTTCTAAAGTCATCAGGTAGAGTCCTCACGCTTACCCCCTGCAGCACAGGTCCAGAGATTTTTGTGGCTTATCACTCCCTCTCTCTCACCCCCCATTTTCCTGTAGGCAGAAATTCCCGAAAAAGTAGGCTCCTAAAAAGAATAAGGCTTGAATATTTGGCAGTTGAGTGTGTCTGTGCATGTGATTCTGAATTTATGTGTCCCTGTAGTCGATTACTACGTGCTGTTTTCCAGCTACAGGACCGTCATCAGGCCGTCTTTCAAGGTGACCTACAAGCAAGTCACCGCACTGGAGTGGAGATGCTGCCCAGGGTTTGTAGGAGAAGAGTGTCGTGAAGGTGAGTTAGTTATCTTAGGGTTTCTTTTCTTCTTTCACATGATGCAACTTCCTCAAAAAAGTCACCTAAGGAACTGGTGACTGTGTAGTCAGATACCAGTTCTCTCAAAGACTGAAATAAAGTCTACGTGTTTTGCCTGCACCCATCTGTGTCTTTTTAGCAGCACTATGCAGCTTTACCCACATCAGTGCCTGTTTTTTGTTTGGTCGGGTAGATTGCTAACAGTGCTGCCTCACAGCGGTCGGTCACTTGGTATGACTGTAAAGTTGTTTTGAATTGAGATTTAAAGCCTGCTTTGGATTACTTTTGGGAACACGGACCACAGTAAAATGAGTTGAAAGTCATCCTGTGTTCTGTGGTTTTGTACCTTTCCTTTTACAGCTGTGCATTCAAGATGCTTTTGTGCCTGAAGAAGGAGTAAAATAACAATCTTTAGTTTTCTTTTTCTTTGTACATGTGTATGTGCATGCAGTATATTACCCTTTTCACTGTAGAGTCCACAGAGACAGTTTTGCCTGTCTCTTTGAATATCACTGTAGCTATTGCAGTCAAAGCTCTGAGGAACATTCAGCAGAGCAGCGTATAAAGTGGGAGGTATAGTCTGGGTTTTGCTGCTGCTGGTTACCACAGACCGCATACTCTGAGCCGGGTAAAGACAGTAAAGACCAAATTTTTCACCCAGGAGAGAGCCTCATATAAAAAACACTGGCATGGCCTGTCCATGATTAATAGTTACCTCCATGAGCAAGTTGTGCCTATTGGTAATAATTACCACACCTTGTTCCGTTTTGCTAAATTATTCATTGTTGCACTTGGATGGGTAAGATTTGCTGCAAGTTAAGAAAACACACATCACTACTAATGGAATAAACACAGACATTATTGCAAAGCCTTTGTAAACCATTATTAGGTGGTTGATATTATTCCTCACACAGCTTAACATATCTCTATATGTGCTGAGTGTGTAATGCCAGAGATTATGGTTCATTTGAGACCAAAGTGGTTGCAGGAGTGCAAGAAGCAATCTGGCTGTTTATTTAACATTTGCTGAAATGTATTTGCACATTCTAATGGCTATAGAGCAGGGAGAAAATCACCTCCATATGGAAGACAGGAGGCCAGGTTCAACTCAGTGAATAGTCCTCTAAGACACAGGCTGATGTCACTGACAGTCCGCTTCTCACTGAGGAGGGAAGGGTGTGCTGGTAAGGGGATCCGTGTGTCGGAGTTATGGAAAGAGAGGACACCGAGGAGAGAAGGTTAGGACCAGTGCACATAAAATAAGATGTTAGAGCCAGCAGAGGCAGCTGTGTAGCAATATTTGAGGTGAAGGGAAGAAAAGAGAAAAGTGTAATGAGGGTGTTTGTATCCCACAGGGCTCCAGCTGCTACAAGCTGCCCAGACGGCAGCGGAGCAGAGAACCGGATCTCTGGGAAAGTGGCCCCACTGACATTAATGAGCATGTCACTCCTCGCCAGGCCTTTGTAACATATATGACTGGATTAAGAGTAGACTACAACTCTGAAACAAAGGCCAGTTGTCCTCATGCAGTTTGAGATCTGTACAACAAAAGGAAGTCACTGAATTTAGGTACAGCATAAATGTTTATTCAGAATACAGCGTAAATAACTATTATTCTTCATGATAAGTCACGTCAGATTTTATTTATATAGCCCATCACAAATTTGTCTCAAGGGGCTTTACAGTCTGTACCGAAAATATCACCCTCTGTCCATAGTCCCTCAAAACTGAATGAGGAGAAACTCCCCAAAAACAAGCTTTATCAGAAAGTAAACTATGTTGTTTCATGTCCAGTACAGATGTGTTTGATTTAAACTGTCTTTTGTGTAATAGTTATTTGAGGTGAAGGTTGTGAAAATAAGTCATGCATCATATTTAAGAGCTTCTGAGGTCCTTTAAACAATTTCATGAAAGACTTTGTATCCATCTCAGTCTTGGGGGCCTCAGATGCAGACTAGCTACAAGGGACTACACCGAGGTATACTGAACTTTAGTGATAATAACCAGAGTGCAGATAGACAGAATATATGGGGATAAAAGCTCAGGAACACTTTGGCTGACACAGGGAACAAAGGAGGGAACAAGCCATGCAAACAAGGCTGGAGTCCAGATGAGGGAAACAGAAAAAGCTGAGAACACGCTGGCTAGTGTCAGGCAATGTTGCTTGATCGACAATCTGGCAGGCAGTTAATGCAGAGAGCTGCTTTGTAGGCTACTGGCCAGTTGATTATACCAGCCAGTATGTACAGTATATACACCCAGTGCAGGTGAGTGTGAGCAGAACAAGGGTGAAGCAGCTGGAAAGAGCATAGAAAAGCAGGAAAAGTAGGCCGGAAATGAACCAAAATAAAAGTTTGGGACAGGAAGTTCCGGGAATGAAGGAATACATTGTTTTGCCTCATGTAAAAGTGTGGGCTACTGTAATTTGATATTCTGGGAAATATGCTTTTCAGCATTCTAGTAGAGACTTAGAAGAGAAAGTCAAGACCACTCTTGTATCTGCTGGTGAAATATGAAGCTACAACCAGAAGCTGGTTCACTTAGCTGAGCACAGAATCCCCACAGAAGCCACTGCTCCTGGTGAAGAAATACCCTACCCTATAACCCCCTATAAGATCAAACCTTGACCATTTTGCACTTCCATTTTTGTTTAAACAAACACAATATAATGTGTTAACTAGTGAAGTTCTGGTATGCAGATCTCTGTTAATGTTTGGACTGAGCCAGCCTAGTGATTTCCCTGTTTCCATTATTTATGCTAAGCTAACTGGCTGTTAGCAGCAGCTCCATCTTTACTGTGTGTGAGTGGTATTAATCTTCTCATCTAATTCTTGTCAAGAAAGCAAATAGGTGCATTTGTGCTTTTTTTCTGTGTCCTCATGTCACTCAGCCAGCATGCATGCAGCTCTGTGTAGCAGATGGGGCTTTGGGCCAGCTGTTTTATCAGAGCCAGAGGATAGCTTTAACCAATGAAAATGACATCACCCCTGGTTTTAGTTTGATGGGGTTCTGGCTCTGCTTCAGAGGCTCTCAAAGATGTAGAGACAGGACACATAAAGAAGGCTAGAGTCTGAGTTAGACCTCTGTAAGCTGAGGATCTTTTTGTCCCTTTCACCTCAGCTCACACTCGTGTTTCATCGTCTAAACTCTGACTCTTTTTTTGCATGAGGCTAATATTTTAGTCTTTTGTTACATTTCTTCTCAAGTCTGCTGTGATCAGGAGAAGCGTTTTCTTTATTTTGACTTATGAAGGGATCACACTACACAACATAAAGGCCAAATCTCCACTGGTATTAATGCAAAAACACTTTCTTGCCTCCTCCATTAAAATCAGTTCAAACAAATACTTCACAGGTTTTTTAAAGCATTTAATGCTGAAATGTTAATTCACTTACTTCACTGACAGAAAAATAACCATCCAGCTATTTTGATTAATCATTCAAGTAATTTTATAACTGGCACATTTATGAAAATCATTAGTTGCTAACAGTGTTTGACCTTTAGCACTTGAATTTGCCCAAATCTGAAAAGGTATTACTGTAGTTTGAGCTGATTAATGAGTCACTAAATGTTCAGTGACATGTATTTTCACAGTAGGTTTTGGCCTTTACGCATCCTCCACTGTGTTTCCTGGTTTGTGTGTGACTCTCCTGACACACTCAGAATTTACTTTCTGTTTTGTTCTGTATACCTTTATAACACTCGAAGCCTGCCACTAAACTCCAAGGCCAAGCTGGGCACATTTTCCTGCAGTGGCTAATGGAAAGTGTGTTTCTGAGTGCATTTTGTTGACACCCTGACCTGTTCAAATTTCTGACAGTCTGGTGTGTGTAGCCTGTGTACAGTACATCTCAAGATTTGCTTTCAGCAGAGTTGTGCTAACACATGACAGCATGGAACACATCTGGGGGGAATGTGTTCATAATTTCCTCACCCCCCCTCCTCCCTGCTCTGTCCCAGCTGCACCCCAGTGTCTATCTGCACACATGATCATATTAACAGTAGGAAATGTGGGTAATGTCTGTGTATGAGGGAACATAATCTTAAAAGAATTTGTGCCAGGACCTCCACTGATGAGAGCAGTAACCTTTGAGCTTGTGCAAAAGCTCAGGAAAAGAAGTTTAACAAAGTTTAAGCATTTTTTTGTTTGTTTGTTTATTTTTTTTTGTGAAGATAACAAATTTCATTAAAGAGGTGAAAAGGCGGCTGAAAGCTTAGGGTGTCAAACTTTAATTTGTTAATGTTAAAGCTACTGTATAGCCCTGTAGCTTTTAATCTGTTTTCTCTCTGCAGCTGGAGGAAGTGAGGAGGGTGTGCCTAAACCCCATTGTTGGAAGGCTTATCCTAAATGCCAGCTATATTATATATCATCCCTTTGAATTCTTAACTTTTAGCATTTTGTCATCCGCTCTCATTCCCATGCAGACCTTTGCTCTTTTGCCCTTGTGTTTACCTTGCTGTTTCTTGCCAGTGCTTGCCTCTTTTATCTTCTGTATTCCGTGCTGCCTTCACTTATCTAACTGTGTCTTAGATCTCCCGGTCACTTCTCCTCTCCTCGGAGTAAAGTGATAAAACAGAACCCTAACCCACATGTGCTCCTCTAGACCACAGTTCAGTGTGAGGATATGACTGATGTCTCTGTTACATCCCTGGCTGTGCTCAAATATAGGTCAGACGGTAACCTTTGACCTGCTGGGAGCTATGGGATAGCTCAGCTGTTCTCGGTGCTGAGCTTATCTGCCTGATGGATGATGCTCTGTTCGTGCTCCTTCTGTGGTTTTTCATTTCTTTCTGCACCTTATCTTCCTGCCTCACAATGCCATCTTTCCATTTGTCCCTCTGTCTTTCTGTCAGCAACTACACACATCTGGTTTTGTAGAGTTAAACAGGTAAATTTCCTGAGTTTCAAAAAAAGGCTCCCAAAATCAAAGAGAGCCACATGTTTCCATATTGGCTAATGTCATCTAAAGGGTTTTGTT